AACCGTTCCGAGGACCGGTGGCAACCAAACTGCATGCCCCTGAACCGTTCTGAACTGTTCTGAACCGTTCTGGAGCCCGTCTAGCAAGCAGAGCACAGAGCAGGCGTATAGTTCAGAACCGTTGTGAGCCGTTCTGAACCGTTCGTCACTCAAGCTTCCCAGGAACCGTTCTGAACCGTTCAGGAGGGATTGCAGCATCATACTATGAACCGTTCTGAACCGTTCAGGAGGGATTGCAGCAACATATCCTGAACCGTTCTGAACCGTTCAGGAAGAATTGCAAGCAGCATGCCCTGAACCGTTCTGAACAGTTCGGAGACATTGGAGCTGCGTACCTAGGAACCATTCCGAAGATTGCAACTGCGTGCTGAGGAATTGCTCTTGCTTCTGCTCACGCATGCTTAGGCTTACCAACCACGTGTTTGAGACTTAAGATGTTTGGCCTCCTAACATTTCTATGATAGCTGCTAAGGATCTAACAACGATCATTCAATCAACACCTTGGGCACTTGTTATGGAGACGGGAGGGGCGCGTTGGAGCCTTACCTTCTTCTTGCCAATGTTTTGTCATTGGCTTGTCTGATTATGCGCCTTTTACCTCTGTTCAGGCCTGTTACATGGCAAATGATGCAGCTTCCAGCTTTCAACACTAGGCACACATTGTTTACATGATCTTTTACGTGTTTCTTTCAGGCCTGTTTTTGTTTACATGAATACTTACATGAAGAGTGACGTGGTTTGTTACATGACTATTGGCCGGTTTTAACCTCCACAGAGATAGAGGCTAAGTTTTGGTCTAAGTGCTTCATTATATTTGCAAAATGCGAAGATGTACGGATTTCGCCGAGCCCGCCTCATCACATTCATAAAATGCGAATTTAAGGTGTGCGCCGGTTGCTGAAAGGCCCCGCCGACAAAAAGCGCTTTTATATATTCTGTTTGTAATTGATGTCATGCGCTCAAGCCGCGCCGTCTTTTCCCAGTATTGCGACGTGCTGTCGCACGCGTCGTCCGCCTCTACTACGCGTCGCTGCCCGGTCTGTTGCGCAGTATGGGGGCAGTTCAGCGCTGTATCATGTTTCGTGACTATAAGCAGCTGTTGGTTAACCCTTTGCTCCCGCACTCCTTCTCAGTTCAAAACAACCATTGCAGGAGGGCTTCCCGCTTGTCCGGCCTGCGTTCTCGCTTGCGGACGCAGCGGCCTCCTGCGCGCTCGCGCCCACCCCTATAGCGCACAGCCTCGTCGGCCGCTTTCCTGCGCCAACTCCATCCAGCTTTCGCTTGCTCCCCCCTCAGCACCTCCCGCCGCCGACTCTAAGCGGTGTGACATTGGCTAGCCTACTTGGATTGGTGTTTATGGACTCAACACATGCCATCTTGAAGTGTTGCATCCCATTCCGTCCCATACGCACATGCCATGCGGCGTCCCATTGGAACTTGTTGCTTCCGGTGCTCCCACTTGATACTTTTCCTCCCATTGCGTCCCATTCGGGTTTACATCACACGTCCAAATTAGTGCCTAAGAACGGAAGTGGGATTTGGCAAGCTTTGCACTGGCTTTTGTGACTTTGTGGATGTGCTCATGCAGGCTTGCTTGTGTAAGCTGTCGTGCACTGACTTTTGCCGCTGAGTGCAGGGTGAAGCTAGCGACATGGGCTTGGTTTTTTCCGTTCACGGGGTCAGGCTGAGTCTGGGAGAGCCCCCCCACCCCGAACAAGCGGGCGGAAGCTTGCTTTGCAGCACTTCGGCGTTCTTTTCAGAACATTTATACCCACAGCAAACTATATCAATATCTGTACGTATATAGATACACCAAAAATATATCTATATGATTTACTGAGTTAGTACTTTGTCTAACTTTGGAATTTATATTATAGAGTTCAATAATACTGAATGAATGATCGTTTAGATTTCATAATTAGATTGCCAGATATTTTTATCTACAGTATATATTTTGGCGATGGTAGATCCGTCTCTTAACCTTAGAGCCTCCGGCTCATTCCGCCGAGTTCTGCTGCGAATGGCGCTGAGCACCCCCGCGAAATTGCAGACCCCACGGAGGCGGAGCGGAGGGTCCGTGTCGCAGGCGAATATTCTGCAGTTTCCGCGCGACCCTTCTTGCAAACGTTGCGTGAGTTTTGTACGCATTGTCCATGCGTGATTCCCACGTGTTTGTTTTTTGTTGTTGTTGTGTGTTGTGCGCGTTTCTGTCCGCATTTTGAACCTGAGTGCCGGAGCGGAGCCGGAGCGAAGCCGCGGAGTGGCGCCGGAGCGCTGAGCGGAGCCGGAGCGGAGCCGGAGCTGAGCCGGAGCAGAGCCGGAGCAGAGCCGGAGCGGAGGCGGAGCGGAGCCGAAGGCGGAGGCGCAGTGGAGGCGGAGCGGCGGCGGAGCGGAGGCAAAGGCGGAGCGGAGGCGGGCGGGCGGAGGCGCAGCGCAGGCCTGGTACATTTCCAGCGCGCGTGTGATTCTGGCAGGGCTTGCAAGACTGTGTTGTGATTTTTGCGGCGCGCAAGAGCTTACCACGAAGAGCTTTTTCAGGCGTTTGCCCTTGCTGTGAGCCGAGCCGCTGCCATGTCTGCGCAGCCTTCGCTCGTTGTGGAGAAGGAGGTAGACGCACCAAGGAGGCGCACAAATGCATTGGGAAATGCATGGGTTTTGTTAAACCAAGCGGCATGACGGCAACACGCACGCTCACCAAAACGCAACACGCTGGGAACTTACGGTACTTATAAGTTACTTATAAGCTGTGTTGCAGGTAGCCAGCAAGTCCATGATCCTAAGTGTCCTAAGTCCTGCACAATTCCCCCTCCCTCCCAATTTTCTTCGAACACTACCCCCGCAACCGGCCAGTGAGAATTCTAGCCCGCCTTCCCCACCCAGCCCCCTGCCCGGTAGTTGCCCGATAGTTGACAGCGAGTGAACGTCACAAAATCGCAGCTCGGTACGCGCCGCCCCCCGTAGGCGCGCCCCACCCTTGCGGGATTTGACGGGCAAGTTTCCAACCAAGCCGGACGGAAGTCGGCGAATTGCACACATATCTATATATGTATATAATGGCAACACGGATTCACCGTATACAGTTATTGAAATACGCAGTTCTGGATTTATTTAAATTCAGCAGAATCACATCCATAAGCTATGTTTGGTTCAGAGCTCAACATGTTTCTTTTCGCTTGACCCTGATGTATTTATTGAAATTTGCAATTCTGGATATACTTCAATTAAGCAACGCCATGTCAATAAAATATGGTTTTTGGCTTAGATCAAAGCAGCTCCAAAATAAATGAGTATATAAAAATATATATGTATAAGTATCTACATATGTATTTATGTGTATTAGTATATATAGATATTGACAAATGCATGCTTTCACATATATATATATATGTGAGGATTATGTTCAGTACTTGGATTCTTGTCAAACACAGCGGGTTGAATTGTCGCACGACGCTTTTGTCAACTTCGAACTAAGAAACCAAGAAACTGGGAGAACGGCCGTGAAACCGGGGCGACTGGCGAACTGGGACACAAAACCGGGAAAGAAGGAAACAGGGAAACCGCATATAAACCAGAACCTGAAGGGAAAACCGGGAAACCGCGAAACCAGAAAACTAGGACGAGAACCGGGGGTCAAAACCCAAAAGCCCGTACCCCCCATGAACATCCGATTCAATCCAACCACTAGACTAAAATGGGTGGTGAATTCACCTACCAACCAAAATGGTACCATTGGTTTTGACCCACAGCCATGTGTCTCAACATTAATCGGGCGTGCCAGGTGGTGCTTAGATTTTAAAGCCGGCGACCAAGCGTGAGAGTGCCCTAGTCTAAAAAACACATGCGGAGGTTTCTTCCTGGTCTGTTCCTCCATAGAAGATTCGAAGCGCTACGATCGAAGCCAGGTGAATCTTCACTTGACTCAAACTTCTTGTGTCTGGACAGGTCGCTGACTTGAAGCTGCCAGTGAGACTTGCCCAGATTCCGTTCCTTTGTGTTTTGTTGGAGGCGTATCAATCATCCCGATTGAAGCTTGAGGATACCACACAAGATTGATCATGCAGTAATGTGTCCAGACCCCCTCTCGCTTTTGCTACCTAGTTTTCCTATGGCGAAGTCTCCACACAAAGTGGTACACTAGAATAAGCAAAGGGGATGACTAACCCAAAATCAGAGAGTTGCGCCATCTACTCTCACACTAAAGACAGGAAACACCCTTAAACGTGCGGCTTTCAGTGACGACAAAAGCAACACCTTGCAGGGGCGGGGGCTTAAACAAAAAAAACAGACGAATGGAATCGTTTGCAAGGGGTCCCGCCCGGCCAAATGGATACCGCAATTTTTTGTTCTCCTCAAAGTCCAAGGCGCAGGCAAGACACAGTCCAACTCCGGAGAAACCATCGACTAGCCATTGGATGTATTCCCCAGGTGATCATGGAACCAAGAACAGAAGCAGCCACGCACCCACAATTTTGTCCACTATACAATCTTGCAAGGAAGGGAGAACCACAATTTTTGTTTCTTTGAGGAATCCTTTGGGGGGAGACCCTCTTTTGGATTGGGGGGTTGTCTTGCAGATTTCTCTGGGGTCATGATTTTGACTGTTTCTGGGGGTTATCAAAGCCAGAAAATGGATTCGCTTGTTTCCCTTTCACCCACCACTTAGGGTGTGACTTTGATGGTAGAAGAATGAGGCCAGGTTCCCCAAACAGAATCTAGACTGATTATCTGAAAAAAAGTTTCTTGGGGCAACCAATGGGATAGGATCAACATGGGGCGATTTCTGTGCGATTTCTGGGCGATTTCTTGCGCGATGTCTGGGCGATTTCTTGCAACCAATGGGGCAACCAAACCAGGTTTCTTTGGTGCAACCAAACCAGGTTTCTACTGGGTTTTCCACTAAACCACTACAAGTTATTCACTTTTAGCAGGGCTTGGCAGATTTCGCAACCGAGGTTTCTGGGAGGGCAACCGGGACTCGGGAACCGTGGACTCGAGCGCAGGAGCTGGAAGCCTTCGGGGAGAAGAGCGGCAGCTTCACGGAGCAATGTCCTCGGAGCGATCGGGGCGAAGGAATTTGAGACGGTGAAAAGAAGTTGGTCATGTCCGCCAAAGGGTCCCAACTAAGACTCACTCACACATAATTGTGTGTATATAATATGTATTAGATCTATGTATGATATATATATATATATATAATATGTATACATGTATATGAATCCCTGTGATTAGGCCGATACCCTGCCACACACCATGGAACCCTTCAGAGGCTGTGCGGCAATGGTGTTGCAGTATCCCCTCAGGTTCTACGTTAGTGGGAGGGTAACACCCTTGCACCTGGGGGCAATTCCGTAGCCATATCTACCAGGGCCGGATGCCTCAACCTTCAATAAGCCCAGGTGACAACCCCGACAGCCCCGGAGCTCTCCCTGCCCCAAAGCGCCCAGAGTTGACCTGGGCCTATCGACCCTAACACGCTTTCAGCCGGGGAGCAACGACACACGTAGAGATGAGCAGGAGGCACCCCCAAAAAGGGACGGTGCCAAGGAGTTTCTTTCAGCGTGGGACGAGCTGTTTGGTCCTAGGATCTTGGGAGAGCTCTACACAGGGGATCCCTTGCAAGTTGAACCGTCAAGAAATTAGGGGGCCCTCTAGCTGGCTTTTCGAACTTTCTTTGTTTCCTTTGAACATTACACTGGCATAGCCCCCTCCATCTCGAAGAGCAATCAGAGTTGTACTAAAATTTGGTTTGAGCACCCTCAAGACAGAAAAAGATGAAAAACGGCAACTTGAAACATCTGGAGCAAGGTCCAACTCATTTTCCTGTGAGCCCCCAACCCCCATAGCCCCCATAGCCCCCATGGCCCCCATGGCCCCCATGGCCCGCCTCGGGCTCCACCCAAATCCAGGCAGGTGGTGGTGTCCTACGCCCTGGACCCCGCCGTGCCGGAGGAGATGGCGCTGTCCACTGAGGTCTATGCAGGCCTTCGGGGCCCTTTGGAAACCAAAGGCCCCAGGGCGTATGGATGGCCGAAAACCGCTCTGAACCAGACCAAACCAACATCGATTTGTTTAGAGCCAAAGTGGTCTAAAAGTGGTCTAAAGGGACAGGGACGGCCGAAAGCGGCTGTAAGCCGGTGGAGCACATCGATTTGTTTAGAGCCAAAGTGGTGAAGTCACCCGGTCACCAAAACGCAAGCCAAGCCTCTAAAAAAACCATCTGGTGCTGCCACCATGTTGGGCCTCTCAACGTGGACCAAATCACATATAACCCACTACTGTCCATCAAGAACCACCCCTCCGTGCAAGACCCTTTCCCGCTCCTGGGCAAATCTCAAGCTGACGTAATCAGAGATCATTGGGTCAACTTGGGATTGTGAACAAGGCACAAGCATGGTAGGACTTCCTGAAGGAGAGTCAAATCATCCCAGAGACGGAGGCCGACCGTCCAACCCCACACCTCCAAGTGCTAAACGTTTTGCTTGGGGAGAGACATGAGGACCCACTAGGGCTGGCTTTGCGGCTTATTCTTTGCCCAAAAAGAGAAGAACATTATGCAACACTGCCCTTAAATGGTTGACGTCAGTTCAGATTCCCTTTAAACCAACCTTACAACTTTGTTTCTGTCTGCACAGGCAGATATCCCTGCAAGATGAAGCACGAAGAGACGGAGCAGACCGCCCTGGACCGATGCATTGTGTTGCTGAGTCATGACCACAATGCAGATCCGCGGGAACAGTGAAGAAGGCGACCTCAAAACCCATACGGAGCTTTAAGGGACCTCATCCCATTGGCGTTCTTTGGTTTCCCCTCAAAACCAACGTAAAGGGGACCATTTTGAGAACACCCATAGAACCCATTGAGTGCTACGTCTAATCCAAGGAGTTGCTTGAAAAAGTGGCACTAATTATTTTCCCCTTTTTTGGGAAGCGCCACTAAACATGCAACAAAAAAAGGTCCCATTCCCAAGTTCTTCCGCCTTTGGACTTCCTGAAGCGCACCAAGTCTGTCCATTCCTGACTGTCCACCTTTCGGGACAGTCAGAAAGGGCTACCAACCGAATGGTTAGGGGGAATCGCTGAGAGTCTGTTTCCTCCCGAATCAGTGGGGAATATGAACTGGCTCTCTTTATCTTCCAGGGTCACTCAGGGGTCGCTGGACTTCTGCAAATCAAAAGTTGATCAATTTGCTGGTTGCCATTCAAACGATCGATCGCCACTCGTGGAGGTTCCACAAAAGGGACATGGCCATGGGGCATAACCTATGGCTCTATTTTGGGGTGGATGAACATCCATTTGCCACCTATATTGATGTTCACCAGGGTACCGGGTTTCCCACCCCCAGTGAACATCCCAATCCCCACTAAAATGGGTTCTAAAATGTGTGGTGAATTCACCTACCCCAAAATGGGATCCCATGGTTTTGACCCGCAGCCATGGACGAAACCCTGTCACTGCACTGGGAGTTTTTGATGCGTAGAGGACTTCTTCAACGCCACTGGCAGCAGCCGGCGTCTTGGCCATGGCAGGCGGAGGTTTACTGGGCGGTCGACCCGCTCCTTTGTATGTCGGTGTGAAGGCCACGGGCGGTCTCATGGTAATCGGGGGAGCGACCTTTGGGTGATTGAGCTATTACCTGGACCCTCTACATGGCTCCGCTGGGCACTTTCCGTTTAATCGTTTCCAGGGGTGCGAAAAACTGGCGACTTGCTCCCGGTTTGTTTGCTAATATACACTGCAATGACCAGCTACCACCGCTAGTGGTAAGCATTACCTCCTGCACGTACTACTATTCGTGAAAGCTCGCCAAATGTAGGTTGAAACTCTTCCTTGCCGAAACTGGACATGGCGCCCCGTTTAGGCAAATTCATCTATGTGAGTTTTCGGATATGCGGGGTGAAAGGACCTGGTTGGAAGACAGCTTGGCCCGAAGTGCGCACCGCGTTTCGAGCGCAATTCGGCGCAACTTCGGGCGCCAATTTAGCGCAACTCGGGCGCAAATCCGAGCAACCGATCGCAATTTCAACAACTGCCCAAATTCTGGTCACTACACTAGCGCCAAGTCACTCTCTCCCAGAATCTACTAGGGCCATTTGTTTCTTCCCAAAAGGACACCTCCTGGATCTCCTTTTGGATTCCCTGCAAAAACACACCCCCAATAACGGTACCATGAAATAAAGGCACCAAGAGCCTTTTTGTTAGTGTATGTTAGGGGTCCAGGCGCACCCATTTGTTTTGTTTTCCTGACAAAACGGAATCGGAACCATTAGCCTTTTTGTATGGGTTTCAGAGTTGAAACCAAAAGGAAAACCAACACCTGGACGCTCAAGCTACCCATTTCTTTGAAGAGACACCCAAACAAGTCAAAAAGGGGACCCTCAAACGACCCATCGTTTTCAAGGGAAACCAAAAGAAGGGTGGCGATCACCACCTGGAGGACTCCTTCTCCGCAGCCCCCAACCGCGCGGCGCCGTCGGGAGGCGCCTGGCCTGGGACCCCCTGAGCGCCTCGGAGGCCGCGGCGGCGGCGGAGAGCGGGCACCAGCTGGAGCGGCCCTTCGTGGAGAAAGGCGCGGGGCGGTGGTTGCGTGGCGCGGCCGGGGGCGTGGCGGGGAGGTTGGGGCTTTTGAGGTGGTTACAGAATAATGCCATGGCCAGATTGATTTTCTTTCAAAATGAATGCCAAAAGGTTGATCCATCCGGAGGTAAGTTTTGAGCAGAGGCACCAAGCACTAGCAACGCAAGCAGCGGAAGAGGAAAAATGGCCATGTTGCAAGGGTGTTCCACCTGGTTTCATTAGGATCATACTAAGGGCCATACAAGCCCGTAATGTTTTGTTGGCATTCGGCCAAGAGTCCATCGGTTTTGGGCACTCGCATGTGATTGACCCGTTTTCATGTTGGGGCATGCCGTTCGTGGGCCCAATGGCCAATCCTGGAAGTTCAGGGTATATCGGGGAGGTTGGTGCTCCAAAAACCAGCTGTTGCGAATCTACTCAAGAGGCTCTAACTCTTTGGCTTTGGCTTCACATAGCCTAAGACTGTTGAATTTCCCCTAACACTTCCAGAGGATGGGTCGTTTGTTCTTTTTGCCAGGATCCTCTACTTGGTTGTTTCTTGTTTTGAGGGTCCCTTTCTTTGTGGTTGTTCATGGAACAGGTCCCGCAACAAACAGGCACCCCCACTTAACCACTTGGTTAACTTCCCCGGCTCTTGGGTTCCCTTCGGCGGATCCCCACCCCCCTTAACTATGGAATTGGGGGAGGGTGACCCCTGGAATTCCATGCGTGGTTCCATATCCTAACTGGAATTGGGAACCCCCCACCCCCCTCCCGCTTACGGTAGGGGGGCATACCGGCGGTTTGGTTTCGATCGAGGCCTCGACCTTCCCGACGACTTCGACCCCCGGGTGGAGAAAACACTTTGCTTCCCCCGAGGGCTCTCGCGGCATCAAGGCGCCGGGGTGCACAAACTTAAAACCCCACAGAGAGGCGAGCGATGTTTTGCCGACCTGAGCTGGCTGGCTGTACACCTGCATGTGGGTATATATATATATATACACATATACGCGTCGTGTGAACATGCATGTGTATTCTATATGATATGTGTAGAAACATACATGTGTGTATATACGCATATCTCGTGCGATTGTCCAAACGTCCCATCTAAATATGGCTGGGCACCCCAGTTTGAGCCGGCTCGAACAGTTAGGGCCCCCTCCTGTTGGATGCCGCAGTTTGCCCACCATCCAGTAGCTAGCAGTAGTGACCTTGCCAGCACCCTGGGCTTGTACTGAAGCGAAGGAGTGCTTCCACGGAAAGGGAATGATGGCGCATTGCTTAAGCCAAGGTCCTCTCTCGACAGATCTTGGCTTCTGAAATTCCTGAAGTCAGATCTTGGCCCAGAAAGGTGCACTCCACGTGCTCGGCAAGATGCGCCCCACTTCCGGAAGCTCTATGGTATCAAAAGACCAAACGCCAATATGAACCAATATCTAGTAGAGGGGATTCAATTTTAAGCCAATGCAAACCGACAGGACACCCAGGGAAAACCCGAGGGACACTGAATTGAAATTTACCTGACTCGAGTCCAATGCATGCTCACCTGGAGTTCCGATTTCAACAAGCATAGAAGTGTGCAGGCTCCGTAGAGGACAGTAGTATTCTCACGATTTTTCTTGGTGTCGGATCTCCCATCTCCGCGGGAAAAGGGTCAACAGACCTGGCTCAAGGTCTCAAATGATGGTTCCACCTTTTCTGTACGGTCACCCAAAACCACAAAATCCCACCGGCAACAAGACAGGTGCAAGGCTCTGCTTGGTGCCTCCCAGTCATCCGGTTCCTGAGCTTTTTAGCATGTAGTTAGTTTAGGGGTTGGGTTTCCATATTTGATCCGCGAGTTGGATGAAGGGGATGAGAAAACGGACAGCCCAGTTTGCTCCACGTAAATCTGGGGTCATGATGTTGACTGTTTCTAGGGGTTGTTTTTTTTGTAACCTACCGCCTAAGAGGAGGCGGTGACTATTTGGCGATGGTAAAATCAGGGGGTCGGCAAATGACAGACGAATTTGCCTAGATTCAGATGTTGGTCCTTGGTCCGGGTCCAGTTGTTTCCCTGTGGACAGCCCCGTTTTGGCCGAATTTCGTCCGGCTTGAGGTTTCACTTGGAGCGTCACTCTAAAAGTTGTTTCCCCATTCTTTTCAACCATCATTCTTGTCCCAAAACCAAGTGTCCCCACTGGGTTTTTGATGGTTCCTGAAAAGATGCGGATCCCTGGAATGAAAATGGAAGCTCCCCCACAAAATGATTGAACACTGCTCACATCAAACCAAACCCAACTCCAAATACCCTCTTTTATTCAGGGTATCATGTCGACCCTCTACTAAAAAAGGAGGTATTTACCATGGAAACTGATCGGTTTACCAAAACATATCCTGAAAAAAGCGGTCATGAGTAGGGGGAAGGAACCCTTTCAAGCCATGCCTGAGCTGATGACTGACCATAGCGCTTTTTACGGCGTTCTCCCCTTGTCGCACGCCCAACAAATCCCTGGAAACCATCCAAAAGCTCTGGAAAAAAGAGAGCAAGCCTCCTGGTTTCCTGTAAGAAATGGATTTCCCTCGAAGCCTCTGGGTTTCCCCCCGAAAAGATCCCGGAAGCAAAACAAAAATCAGGAGGGGTGAGGGTGTCTTTCTTTAGGGGAGCTCCCCTCACGCGCCCAAATCCCCAGGCAGCTGCGGCTCCAGCTGGGCCTTCGCCGCCACGGCGGCGGCCTCCTTCCGGGAGTGCCTGGCACAGCTGCACACAGGCGAGAAATATCGCTCGAAAGCAAAATGGCGGAGGGAGGGCGACCACTGGCTGAAATGAGAATAGCTGGTTTGTTCTTGTGCGTGTGTGTGTGTGGTTTAATGAAAGGATTTTTTGTTGGAAAGGACTATGTTTTGTGCGGTTCTGTTTTCATGAAATGAATAGGTGCCTGTTTTTTGTGGTGCTTGTTTTCCCCCCCCTTGTTGGGGTTCTCCTTGTGGGGTGCTGCTGAACAGTACCTCCAACAAGGAAGTCACCCATGTCGTCTCCTGCCATCTGATGCTCGCTGCATCCATCGCCGTTGATCGCAGGCGAAGGCCCGGCGTCCTTGAGCTTCCTGTCGGCGCAGGACGTGAAGTGCGGAGATCCCGCCACTCTAGGGGCACCTTCCAAGGAAACCACCAGTAATTAAATCGATCAACTTCTGACTTGGGGAAGTGCAGTGTCCCTTGAATGAGTCGCCTTGGGCATTTCCCTTGGGGTACCTTCCATTTCCATTTTTAACCCAGGGATCCGAATCTTTCTAGAAAACCTCGGGGGTTCCAGGGAAAACGGGTTGTGTTTGGCAAGAACAATGGTTGAAAAGAATGGAAAAGGAATCAACCCCTAGAACCACAGGGCCAGCGGCCTCTTTCAGTGGGAAATTCTTTCTCGGGACGTGGGGGCCCAAATTGAGGGCTGGCCCCTGGGACTCTTTAGCCTGTTGCTGTGTTCAGAGGCAGAAAGAAACATCAAGCCTGCTTTTCGCACATGCGTGTGTACAGGAACCAGGCTTCCATGGTTCTCTGGTTTTCGTGGTAGCCCTGGTGGCTCTTTCTGCTTTTCTCGACCTTTGCATCAGTTCGCTCGTTTCAGCCCATGTGGGTGCGCGATTGCATAAATCCAAATGCATTTCTGATGTCCAGCAAAGGACCCGTTTTGGGTTTGCATTAGAAGAGAACCAACTGGAATCCAGCCGTTTCCAATTACCCTTTCAAGCTACAACATCAAAGCTGAACGAGAATCCCATTCACGGGAAGCTGAAAATCCTGGTTCTAGGGTCCACGCTCCGGAGGGTAAGCCGCATGTGTCTAGTGGTAAATTCCGACCATTCTTTTCAACCGTCCTTCCTTTCAAAAACGGATCGCTATTTTCCCCGGGAACCCCCGGAGGTTTTCTAGAAAGATTGAGATCGCGGGAAGGCGAATCCTTCAAGGGACACCGCACTTCCCCGAAGTAGAAGTTGATCCATCAACCGGTGGTTTCCCTTGGAAACTATCGATTTCCACTTTTGGAGATTCCAAAAAGGACCCCTAGCTTTCATTTGCTGAAATGAGTATTTGTTATTTTCACCTGTTGGTTTTAAAGGGAATCTATCACCAGTGGACATGTGTTTTTTCCATGGGACTGAAGCAAATGGAAGCTGGAATGTTGAAAACAAATGGCGACGCCTGCAGGAGCTGGTGAGTTGCTCTTCTCACCACGGGTGCTCCGGCGGCAGTGCGGCGGAGGTGCGGCGAAATCATCTGCCCCCTTTGGCACGCATGGCTGCCCGCTTCCCCACATATTTGAGCAGAGTTGATCAATTCTTGTTGATTCACTGGGAAGCAGTTTTAGGGGGGGGGGTTTTATGGGAACCCTCTCCCTCCCCCCAAGTACATATATATATATATATACATACATATATATATATATGTATATATATATATATATGCATATACATAAATAAATGGTGGTGTTCCTGTTGTTGTTCCATTAAAACCACCGTACTCGAGGGCTTTCCCCTTGGTTTCTCCTTCCCTGCGCCACGCGGGCGGCCGCCGGCGGCGCGGGGGGCGCGGGAGGCCTTCTACTACATGAAGCAGCAGGGCGTGGCGCGGGAGAACTGCTCGCCCTACCGCATGCGCTGCTTCCATGCGCCTGGGACCCACAAAACGCTCGTGGCGCCAGCCATCGGGGTCCTTAGCTTAGACTTTTGGTTGGTTTGGTGGTTGGGTTGCCATCTAACCCACGAAAAGTGAGTCGCTTTTAGCAGGGTATATGGAAGTTCTAGGCGTACCTCCCATTTCCATTCTTTCCATCCGAACCTTTCTAGAAAACCTCCGGAAACCGGGGAAAACGGCTGGTGTGGGAAAGAAGCCATTCGTTAATATTTAAGAATATGTTGTCATTTTCCCCTGTTGGTTTCAAAAGGAATCAGCACAACTGGACATGTTTATTTTGTCCAGGGGGCTGAAGCAAATGGAAGGATGTTTCTAGGCGTACCTCCCATTTCCGTTCTTTGCATCCTTCTTTCTAGAGAACCTCCAGAAACCCGGGGAAAGCGGCGATCGGTTTTCGAAAAGAACGATGGTTGAAAAGAATGGGGAAACAACCCCTAGACTTGCGCTCTCACCGCTCATTCTAAGATAGCCTCTATTTTTTTGTGCGAGGCTGTTCCACTAACTGGACATTCACTCTACCTGCATATAGGTTTGTCTTAAAATAAGGCACCCAAAAATGCGAGTTCCCCTTTGGTTTCATTGCCTTTAAAACCACTCCAAAAGGGACAATGACAATTACCCTCCACAAAAGACATACCCATTTGTTTTCTTGGTGGTTCCCAGCCATCCCCTTAGCTTCTTAGCCTTTTAGTGCTTAGTGACAGTTTCCATTTAACCCATTAAAGTTAAGCACTTTTAGCGGGGGATCTGAGGACAGCCCAGTTTTTTGTCTGAATACCCCTTAAAAGGTTTCATTCCCTTTTGGACTCATTCCCTTTTGGATTCATTCCCTTTACAACCACTCCAAAAGGGGTAGCCTCAAGAAAAAGACACCCCCATCTTTTTCTCTGAGTAACCACATGTTTGTTTCAAAAGACAATTGCCCTCCACAAAGACATAGCCATTTTTGTTTCCTAGGTCCCCCAGTAGTAGGTTCCCCTAAAATTGACAGAAAAAAGTTGGCACCCTTATTCCAACATCTCTCTACTGGAGGACCTAGATTTACATGGCCATGAGTTTTATTTGGGAACCACACAAGTGATTCGTGGACATGAATCCCCGAATTTTGATGTCCACCTAATTGGTCCCTTCTGAAAGCTACCCTTCTCTGAGTCGCCCTTAGCATTTTGCGGAAGGACCAGTCCACCATCTCCATGGAGGCCGCAGACTTCGAGACCAGGACGCGGTCGTTCGGTTCGGTCGAGGCGAAAGACCCGTTCCTGGACTTGAAGCATAAAATGGGGTGGACCATTTTAGATGAGGTTGGACCATTTTTGGGAAATAAAACCGTTGGATTGGACTTGTTTTGGCCAATCCAATGGAACAATTGGACTTGTTTTGGCCAATCCAATGGAACAATTGGACTTGTTTTGGCCAATCCACTCAGGAAGTGAGAATCGGCAAATGGGTGACCAAAGGGTTGAAGAGAGAACATCAGAAGGACTGACTGCACAGGGGAGGATGGAGTAATGCGTCTCTCAGCTTCGGGCCAGTTGCACATGGCTTCACGTGCTCTAAAGGATGCGTGGTTGCCACGGAGTTTGGGGGAGGCTTGTTGGCTGTTGCGAAGGCACTACAATTTCGCCACGCGCTGGTGAGAAAGAAGTCGCCCGGATGAAATCCTGGAAGCTGACCTTTCCGTTTTGCTTATTCGACCTCCTGTCGATCCCAGCGACATTCAATACCGCTCAAGTGCCGCAGCTGCAGTCACACAACACCACGTAGCTGCAACATGCGCAGGGTCCATATCCGTTGTTTGGCGGGAATACATGGGCCAATCAAAGCCCCCGGGTAGACGAAGGTTGGTAAGGGATAGTCGCAACTACAAATGGGCGCAGCCGCCTCTATATTCTTTGCATGGTTCTGGGTAGACCGCTTTAATACCCAGTCTTGATTATGACTCAGGCAGAGTTTGCCGTTGGCCACAAACAAACGTTGTTTCGTAAATGCATTGATCATTCATGTTGCCTACGGGCTGGGTAGCGCGTTTTTTATTGGACGAGACAATGTGCCTCTTTCGACGTCTAAACTCGCGGTTTCGATTTTCGCAACGCTTCCGAGATGTTTCGTCTTTTGCAAGTACACCATATTTTTTACCCATGAGGAAGCCACGAGAATAGCAGTAGGGCGGAAGGTAAAGGGGCTGTGAGGTCAGATAGGCGTGAAATAAGGCAGGTCTCATGTATGTTTGCAGAGTCAGGCCCAGGCTCGAGGGGAATGTGTTCCAGACTTTTCATGTCAGCGCCTGTGCCTTGTGCCTTTAGTCTCGCCTTCTCTTTGCAGAGAATCCCTACTGAGCAGCAGCAAGGTTCATTGGGGTGCAGTGGATTGGTTTTGGCCTTTTCTCCAGAAGCACGCAGGAGCCGAGGAGACAACTCCGTTTGCAAGAGCCATCCGGATCCGACGCACGGCTGGCAATGGCATCTCTTAGCATGTTCGATGAACACATCCAGCGGTCTCTCATATTATATATATATACACATACATACACATGTGGATGTGTGTATCAAAATAGGGGGACCCAAGCAATGGTAGAGGTGAAAAGGGTACCCTAAAACCGCACACGCTTAGATTCCATTTTGGGGGGGACATGGTGGACTCAGTGAACTGATTGTGTCCGAGACGCAGATGGGGCTAGCTATGGAGTGCTGCCAACTGTCGGGAAGTTCCTTGAGCTTCATCATCAACCCCAGCAAAATAAAATAAGCTGGGGTTAATTAATATGGGGTCAACATTGCTTAGCTGTTTCCACCTCCAATTCTGCAATTTAGCGTGAGGGTGCGCAAACGAACAACCGCGGCAGTTGGCCAGACATGCAGCTAAATTGGCATTTGCTGTGGGCGCCCGCTCACCCAACAAAGCCATTCCCCTTAGAACCCGCAGAAGTCACTTTTTTGGAACCGGAAACCAACAAAAAGCACCCCTTCAACCTAAAAGCACAAGAACCCCCCCCTCTCCCCCTTCCAACCCCCTTCTTCCAGAACACTGGGACCCGAGTCGACGGTTTTTTCTTCGGAGAACCCCCCCCCCCCCCCAGAACATGGGAACTCGAGTCGCGCTGTGTTTCCAACCCCCCCAAGAACTTGGGCCTGTCGCGCGAGAAATGTTCGGAGCGACCCAGGGACTCGGCGCCCTGCAAGTGCCTCCCCAGCGTCTTCCACCTCTCCGGCGCGGTCGCCTGCGACCTGCTGCCCGCAGCCTGCCCCAAGGCGCCAATCGCCATGCGCGTCACGGGTTGTGTCAGACTCGACGCTGTGTGTCTTATTTGTCATAGACCCCGTTAGAAAGACTGTTTTCCTCTTGGAAGGAGGCTTTGTGCTTCCGTGCTAGATGGTGGGAGGGTAAAACCATTCAAAAGGGGTACCCCAAAAAAGCACACACTCAAATAAAGAAGGACACCCCGCGTTTTGGATTGTTCCAGCTCTTTCGTTGAACATGTGGCTCGATCCCGCGACTGATCCCCCTCCGGCGACTGACACATCGCGCCAGACGAAGATCCCGGGGTACTTCAAGATGGTGGGCACTATGGAAGGGAACTCGGTGCCGGAGTTGGAGCGGCACTTCATGCAGGAGACCTGGCCTTTCGGTCGCCTCAAATTGGGAGACAGGGAAACCAACTAGCAGGGATACAGGGGGAACCAAGGATACGGGAGGATTCCCCCGTTTGATGCACCTTGACTAAGTTTGATCCGGGAAACGGCGCCAAGTTGGAATCCCGCCGTATCGGGACCCGCTCCCTCCGCGCTTGAGGACTCAAGGGTCCAACCGCTTTAGGCACAGCTGGGCTGCTCAAAAGGGGCCAGGCTTACGTCGATGGGCCTCCAGGAGCTCATCACCGATGGCCCCCTCTACGTGTCGTTGCTGCTCTTCGAGGAAGCTGGGGAGAGAAGTTGGATGTGTGGTCAGGAGCGTGTAACTAGATGTTTATGATAGATAGATATATGTGTATAAAAAATAGATATACATATATATATATTGGTGGTGACGCATCTATGATTATATATATATAATACATATGTTGGTGACCTGTGCATCAACCCAAGCTGAGCGAATCATAACTCCCTGGTGTCTGAGCAAAAGCTAGACCGCATGATGAAGGTTTCATGCTCGGGAAACACGCAATGCAGCATGGCAACATGAGCCCCGAAATCCCCAGGAGGGAAACAAGGACGCCCTTCCACTTGATCAAGTGCCCTTGAACGGCAGACAATGGGCCTGTGACTCAAGATCGCTCTCCGATGCAAGTCAAGCATGCTACCAGCAGGATTGCCCGACCCACCTTTGTGCGATGGGCTTTCTTTGGTCGGTAAGGATACCTTGAACTGTTTGGTGGGAAGCAACTGGGTGCGTGTTTTTAGATTGTTTCTTTTTGCGGTTCACCTTTTCACCTCAGTTTTGCAGAACAGGAAAACCAGAGTTCTGTTGGGCGTCCCCAATTTTGACGACACATCCAAGTAACTTGTATGAGCCACAATCAACACCCGGGTAGATGAAGGTTAGTAAGGGACAATCCCCAACCATAAATAGCTGCGGCCGCCTTCTTTTTCTTGAAGCATGGTTCTGGGTCGACCATTTTAGTACCGGGTTTTGATTATGACTCAAATGCCAACGGTGTCCTTTCCGTCATTTTTGTCAAGCCCACCCTCCATGGGGCCCCTGACTACCCCCCTGACTACCCCCCTGACTACCCTATGACTTTTATGGCTTACCCTTTTGAAAACCCATTTGGCGCCACTCGAAGCCGGCATCGCTTCAGGACTTCTTCGACAGCTCATCCTGGACGGAAAGCCGTAGCCCCATTAAAAAAAAAAAAGAGAAAACACACTGGGGTGTGCCGGTCCTTCTTAAACTGAATCCATCCGTACGCCTATTGTTTCTCTTGGTGTCCCACGGGTCGGCCCTTTTTTGGGATGAAAGGCAACCACAGAATAAGCTGCACACTTCATAAGTATAATGTTTCTCTCGCATGTGTTGATACTTGCTGGCAGACGCTGGTTATTGAGGGTCCTCAATCCTTTGCAGCATTCAAATTGATTGATTGCAGGCATGTTGCTGCTTGGTCAAAGCCGCTTATTTGCTGGATGGGAATATGATATGGAATTGGTTCTAAATGAATGGCAACACAACCCTGCAAATTGACATGAAACCCAAAAAAGAAGGGTTCTAAAATGTGACATGCAAAAATTGACAATCCCCACGAAAATAGGTTCTAAAATGGGTGGTGAATTCACACACCCACCAACACGAGATCCCAAAACGGTTTTGACAACCACAGCCATTTGTTTGCCTCAAGGACCAAGAGGGTTGAACAAGGTGAAGACCTGGTGCTCTCTTAGGGGAAAGGTTTGTTCCAAGCAGAATATGACTCCACTGGTTTTGACAGCCACAGCCACATGAACAGCTTCGTTCCAACTTCCGAACTCAGCGGGAGGGCCATGGCCCAGGTGGCATCTACAGCCACGAGAAAGGGGAGGCCTTCGGAAGGCGAGGCGCCGGTCAGTGTGGAAACGTCAGTCTGCTCGAAGCTGAATGGAAGCTCCTAGGTCCCCCAGCCAGGTTTTTTTTTTGACGCTTCTTTTTTGGTTGGGAGATTCGGTTCCCCTACCAAAATTGACTACAGAAGAAACAAAAAATCGGGTGCCAAAAAATTCTAACCTCTCAAATCTGGAGGACTTAGTGAGCTCCCTCGAAACCCGATGGAAGAGAGATGTTTTCCGAGTCTCGGGGCCTGGGAAAAATCCGTTCATTTCAAGCATATGTGTCTGGATGTTGGAAAGAATGAACATGAAAATACGACCAACGAACACACCCACGCCAAAAAGCAGATGTGTCCAGAGATGCATCCTTCCGCCACTGAGAGCCAAGCGCGTTTAATAGCGTCTGGGGGCTTAGTAGGGTTCGTCATCCACCTTTTGGCCTTCTTTAGGTGTTGTTTCAAGTGAATCCAGAGCGGTCAACTTCATTTTCGCACCTAGGACGAACTAACTCCCAAAAAGTTAAACCTTTAGCAAAAAATTTAAGGACAGCCCAGTCAAGACGCAAGCGTTTTCCTTCTCTCTAGCAGTCTCCACATCTAGGTCCCCCAGTAGTGCCCTTCTCTCCCCTTTTTGATTGGGAGGGTTCCCCTACTAAAATCGACAGAAGAAACATCGGGCACCAACTTATTCTTCCCCAGAATTAGCTCCCCTTTTTTTCTTTTCTTTTTTGGGTTCCCTTTGTTTTCCACGAACCAGGCAACAAGATATATATATATATAATACAAAAATATATATATATATATTTGCTGGGGTCCTAGTTCCAGCCTATTCGAACCTCTCTACTGGAGGAGTGTGCCTCCACCTGCCTAGAGGCATGGAGCAGCCCTGGTGGGCTGGGGCACGGATGAGGAGAGCCCGGGACCTCAGTCCTTTCCATTTGGGAAACCGATGCTGCGGGTGTCCTCTTGGTTTCTCTAGCACTAAACTATCGATTGTGTTTCTATTATGATTATTATTATTATTAGCATTATTATTAGTATTATTACTACTATTAGTATTATTTTTTACTATTATTATTATTAGTATTATTATTACTATTATTATTAGTATTATTACTATTATTACTATTATTACTAGTAGTATTATCATTATTATTAGTAGTATTATTATTACTATGATTATTATGGCGGAGACCCATGCTTCTCTGCAGCCTTTCTTGGGATGTGTTGCTTCATGCTGACGCTGAGGAGCATGCCAAGCAGGGTTGCATTTGCAGGCTCGTAAGTTTGGAACAGAACAAAACAGCCAGAACAGCTGAAGTGTCTAGCATCCCGGTCGCACCAGGCAAGGCGAAATGCATGCTGGGTGCGTACCATCGACCTTTTGAACGGCAGCGGTAGAGGGCGCAACCCTTGACATTTGTTCAGACTGAGGTAGTCAAGATGGCGGCATGTGTTTCTTTCCTAAGCAGAACCTGCACCTGACATTTCTATCGGTCCATTGTTAGACTGGGGAGGGCACAGGGCCCGCCCTACATCCCCCACACAGCCAAAGCCCCATTTGTTCCCATGTCCATCAGAAACCAATCAGATTGCACGTGCAGCTCATCAGCACAGGTTTGGAGGTTTGGAGGTTTTTTCGCAGAGACTTTGGCGAAGTGGGCACAACCCAACACATATACTACACCAAGAAAAGTGCATTGCTCTTGGGCGGCCAGTTCAAAGCCCTATATGTATACACAGCTTGAAAGTCTGAAACCATTTAGCGCAACCCGGTGAATTTACCAGAGCCACGCGGAAAATGCGTTCTTCCTTCTGAAGTATGCAGACATATATGCAGAATTTGCTTCAATACATCATAACATGCCGCTAAAATTGCATTTAGTCTTTTTCGGTGAGAAACACAAGAACTCATGAGTAGCCCGGTCAGTCTGCTTTGCTTTTCTTTGCCGCTTTGTTGGGAGATCGCCACACATGTCGTTTCTGCAGGAAGGCGCAGGAAGTCGTGGCAAGGCCGTCTCGATGCACTCACGACGCGATTGGTCTGCGAGCCCCTACTCCAAATACAATCTTTTTTCAGGGTATCATGTCGACCCTCTACTAAAAAAGCATGTATTTTCCAAGGAAAACCAGGTTTTCCCGAAAATACCTTGAAAAAACAGGTACTTTGAGTAGGAGGTAGGCCTAAAATCCCTGCTGCCTGCGGTCCTTGTTTGACCAGCAACCTTTTTCTTTGTTCAAGTTTCAGGTCGGGACTACTGGCTCTTGCTGAATTCATTCGGCATGGAATGGCAGCAGGGCGGCTACTTTAAGGCGGGGAGGGCGGCTGTCGACACCTTTGGCTCGTTGGTGGCTGCCTCTTTTAATACTTCTCATTTTCAGGCTCACTAGTTCTGGGGACTCAGTCGCGCGTGTTTTCAGTTGATAGCTTGGGTCTAAGTATATGGGTTGTTTCCACTTGACCAAACGCCAGTTTCGCATGAGAGGCCATATCTGCCCAGGAACGAGATGTCCAGGCATGATGATTCAATTGCGGCCAGCAGTGGCCGGTTGCGCCAAACGCATGGTTGAAAGGCTAGGCCGCACAGGCAGATTTGGGGCATGTAACGTGTTCGTCCACGTGCTCGCGATTTAGCACGTTATTGGTTTCAGAGGGAATTGACGGGTGAATATTTCACTGGTGCCTGATATTTGACGCGTTTTCCCATGGACATGCTTTGGGTTAGCCGGCAGCCAGCGTGACGTTGAAGCGCATTGGTTTGAGGCCGGGGTATGCGGATGATTGTTTCAGGGAAGTTGTGGATGATTGCGTAGTTCGCTTGTTGCTTGAATCATAGGCGGACATGAACGTGCTCGTAATGTCTAAGGACTCGAGTTTTCCATGTGTTATACTCTTTGGGAAGACGAGAAAGCCTCAACTTTTTGGTTGGTAATTGGTCTCGCGGATCTCATTATTTCTACGAGGCAAGCCCTTCTCATGGTTTCGTTGTAGGATACGCCGTGTGTTTCAGTGCAGAACTTTGCCTTGTAGAGTTCCTTGTGCCCAGGGCGGTCGCATTGTCCTGTACTGAACGCAGACCTGTGAGTGTTGCTTGCCATGGCAGTTTCCTGTAGCAAGGGTATGCCGCTATGCCTTTGGCTTTGGTTTCCTTGAGTTTACTTGGAACCTGATTCTCCTTCTGCTTATTTCTCTGGTGGTTTGAGCAGAGTGAGCTGAGAAAACTTTTCAATACCTAGGGCTTCAAGAACCTGTAAAAATGTCGTACCCTGACTAAAACATAGTGTTTTTTCTCGATTTTCTGAAAACATTGTTTTCAGGAAAAACATCGTGTTTTTGATAAAACCCCTTAAAAATGGGCTTCTGAGGCCAAACGCTCATTTGGAGCAAAGGGTCAAAGGCAAGGGTCGGGAGTGAATTCACACAGGCATGACCCATTAAGATCTCAACTGAGGGCAACGCTCTATACTGAGTATGCTTCAAATTCTAAGGACCACATTGAAGAGCCTGACAGCCAGGGTGTGCAGCTGGCAGCAGTCTTGAAGTACCTTTCACAGCAACAGGCACCTGAAGACTGGCGCCAGGTCATACAGAACCAGTTTGAAGGGGGTGCTGGAATCCGAAAGCTCCTTTTTGGTGCAAAACAAGACCAGGTGACACCTTGTGAGATTGTTTTTTAATAATTTTGAGTTTTTTTTAGAAAATGGGGCGGGATCCTGGCGGCTAACCGCAGAAACCCGTAGAAAACCCGTAGAAGACCCGTAGAAACCCGTAGAAAACCGTAGAAAACCCGTAGAAACCCGTAGAAAACCCGCAGCCCAACCGAAAACATCGTGTTTTTGGAAAACATCGTGCTTTCTAACCCGTAGCTAAACCGTGGAAAACCCGTAGTAAAGCGTGGCAAGCCGTGGAAATTCTATGGGTTTTTCGGGTTCAACCACGAATGCGCTAATTCGAGAATGTTGCTGGAAAACAACGAAGTCGTGAGCAAAAGCACGGTCTTTGCTTGAGCTTGCGCGCTGTTCGAAGCCAGCACGCCCTCATCATGGCATTGCTGCTTAACAAGTGCCATAAAACCGTGGTACTTTTGACTATTTGGGTCCCCGGCCTCCTTCTTTCAGATTGGAGTTGCGAAAGACGAGTGGCGAACGCGAAGCTGATTTCGTTACGAGCGCAAATGGGGAGGGCGATGGGAGATTCTGAGGTTGAGATGATGCTTTTGAGATCTTTTGAGAACGGATGACGAGTTGAAGGAATGTATGGGAAAATGCTTGAAATCGAAAACGCGGTGTTTCCCAAAAACATCGTGCTGTCCAAAAAACATCGTGTTTTTTGTAGGTATGACATTTTCATCGGTTTTTGAGGCTCCTGGTAGTGGCTGTTTCCTCACAAGCAACGTGTGAGCTCAACTTTTGTACAGGCGGCCAACGACCACCCGAAGTTTCTGACCTCCCTCTTCTTTCAGACTTGTTTCTAGCTGTACGCCCCTAGATGTCTAGGTGTTTCACTGTTTGGTTTACTTTTCGTGGTTGTCGCAAATGGTTGACGTTTTCATTTGCAGCTCCTTTGGCCAAGTGAGCCAGACCCAAAACGCGGGCTGAAGGTACGTGGGGACAGTCCATAGGTTGGGCAATGTGTAGTTGGGATCTGCGTCCTTTTGATCTTTTACTCCTTTTGGTAGTTTGCGAATTCAGGGTCTGTTGGGTGGGCTCAAAGTGAAACAAAATATAGGGCGAACCACATAAGTTGTCGCCTTTGGTTCCATCCAGGGTTTCCACCGGAACATTTTTTTGCGGCGCTGCCTCTTGGTGGACTTGACCAGACGAGTTTCCTTCCAAGCATCAGCATGTCTCCATCCAGGGTTCTACCTTTTGACCCCCAAAAAGAGTTCAACCCAGGGGTGGTTGATGTCCCTAAAAGCAAAACCCCTGGGTTTAAGTCTACCTTGGGGTAGTCAAAAAGTAGAACCCTGTCTCCATTTCTCTCAGGGCTGGGAAATGTCATGGGTTCGCTGCTGTTTTTCTTTTGTAGGTTTTGCGCGGGGACACGGAGCTGCAATTGCTGCACTATGGAGCTTGGGGTCGAAGCCTCAGCGAGACAGCCGCCATAGCCAGAGGCTGAAGGTGTCATGTCCGTTTTTGTTTTCTTGTGGTTCCGGTGTCATCTTGGAAACAGGTGGCCCTGGTAGATGAATAAACCAGGTAGACTAGGAATCGCCATCTAGAATATATGTTGAAACCAAGGAGGACACCTATGTTTGTTGCCCTTTGACATAGGCTACCCCCTGCGCCAAGGAAATGCCAATTGATTCCGCCCCATACCACGGCACCTCCACAAGGTCGCTTGAGGAAAATGGTCTTGTGTAGTTTCTTGAAGCAGGAGGGACAACACAAAGACGTGGCTTTCTGTGGGTACGTAGAAGATCAGCTTCCTTTTAAAGGAACCCTCTGTGAGGTGCTATGTTAGTGGGAAGGAGTGTGTATATATTAATACATATATATATATATATTATTGTTTGGGGTGCGCAAGGACACGTGCCTCCGGACTTAGAGGGAAAGCTCCGTTCGAACGCGTTCTCAGGCGCCGACTTCCAGCCCCCTGAGAATGAGAAGCGATCCCCAGCCATCTTTGCTGTGGAGGTCGGGTTATGGGCTGCGCGACGCTAGCGAGCAGACACGAAGTCCAGAGAAGTGGGTCCTAAAGTAGGATAAGGACCACTTGAGCCACGTGCTCAAAACCCGGGGATTGGTGAAGGTTAGGGACAATCCCCTTGCCATAAATAGCTGTGGATGTCCGCCTTCTGAATTCCTGAAGCATGGTTCTGGGTGGACCGTGTTAGTACTGGGTTTTGATTGTGACTCGCTTGATTCCTTTCATCCAAGTCCCTGTTTTGTTTTGGCGCATGGTGTGTTCAACATGGCTCGGCCTTGGCAAGGATCCAGCCAGTGCAGCGAAACGGCAGCGAGTAACATGTGTTTGGGTTTTATCACTGGGCATATTGAAGTGAGCATTGTTGTTTCTTTGGTTTACATAGGCTCTTTTAACAGAGGGAGTAACAAAATGTGTTTCGGTGTCTGTAGATGTGTTGTTTGCACAGGGGGGAGAATTCCCTGTTCACCACAATTCAAAGGATAGCCGTTGCAGTCTGGCGTAGGCTCCCATTCGCATCTGCTGCTACTGCTAACACTAAAAGTACGAGCATTTGACCAATCACATCATCAACACCAACTCTACTAACATCAAACGCATTCGAATGTTACGACGATTCAGTAACAGCAGTTGAGCATAACCAAACATGTTGAAGATGTTCCGTGCTACCCGACTGCGCGACTGCTGTTTGAGGCAGGTCAGGATTTGATGTTTGGCGGCTCGCAGGAGACGCGCCGAGTGGTGCAAGGACGTTCTCGTGGAAACCCTTGTAGCTGAACCAAGCCCTCCATCCATAAGGTCCCAGTGGCTAAAGCGGCCAATCCTTTGACTTAGGCCAAGTGTGAGACTCGAATCCCGGGCTTATGACTGTTGCTGTTCAGGAGCTCACGTTGAGTCCTTTTTCCCAATCTTTCAGGAACGACTGTTGCAAGGAAATCAGCAACATCCATTCCCTATGCGGTAGCCCGATAGAGATTGCGGGAGATCGAATTGGAACTTTGACCTTCGATTTTGACCAACACCTTGAGTTTTTGCCCCAAACTTTATGTTGTGTTCCAGCAAAGGAGCCTGTTCCTCAGAGGGTTAGGCAGCCTTCCAACCCCCTTCATGTGCACTTCCATTGGAAACGCTTCAATGATTGTTGGAAAGAGGGTAAAGTTTCGGGGAAAACAACCATCAAGGCACCTTTTTTTCATGACCCTCTGGAGATCCTTTTTCGAAAACCCGAGGGTAGCGTTTGGGTACGTCGTTGCCCCGGCCGCACGCGGGCGGTGCGCGAGTCGCGGGGGAGGTGTCCTTCTCCCCCGTGCCGCTGCGGCACGGCGCGGCCAGCGAGCCCCTGGCGGAGCTGCAGCATGTGGGGCACTGGGGCTGGGTGGGCCATGGGTGGGTTGGGGCGGTTGGTGGGTGGGTGGTTGGGTTGGGAGTTGGGTGGTTGGTTGGTTCGTTGGGTGTGGTTGGTGGGTGGGTGGTTGGTTAGTGGGTTGGGTAGTGGGTTAGTTGGTGGGTGGGGTGGGTGGGGTGGGGTGGGGTGGGGTGGGTGGTTGGCTTGCAGTGGACCAGGGGTCAGAATGAATACCATTGGATGGTTCAAGCCATCAACTTTTGGCCGTTTACAAAATCGGGTTTCCTGTCGGGGTGATACAAGGTTCTAAATCATAGGGGTTCCGTGCACATCCAATTCGAGGGACGCGGTTTGTGAGGGAAGTGGTTGGCTGCGTCCGGGCTCAGTTGCATCCCGAAGCTAAGAAGTTCCCAGCTTTGACATGGCCATCTGATTCTCGGAGATAGGCCCCAGCCAGGCTCTGAGCGCTTGCAACCTCAAATGAACTGAGAGCGGAACAGGTGATGAGCCTCGGCACCCTGAAGCCTTGCTTGTGGATTTGGTTCCACCTTGAGCCTTCAAAACCAGGTGTGCCCATGAAATCGCCCCTGAAAAGGACACGCCCACGGTCTGGGATGTTTTTGCGAAAGTCCCCTCGAGTGATCTTGATGTGCCACAAAGTGGGTTAAAAAGGCAAACCCCGGCTAGAAAGCTACTAGCCCCGCTGGCCATGGCTTCTTTTCGCCGCGGCGAGGTTTGGCTCCGGATTACAGCTGCAGCCCGAGTTGCGAAGTGCCTCTTGAGAACTCTCGTGACCACAGGCCTCCCCATGCGTGACCACAGACCGAGTGTATGGTTTTGCCCATGGCGAAGAGTGGCACTGTGCTTGGAGTGGAAACATCTTTGTTCACTTCGAGCAAAAAAAAGGCGACCAAATGTGCGGTCGGAATTCAAGTTCCCCTAGGGTTCAAAAATGACTCACCGAGATTCTCCCTGATGAGCTGCCAACGGGTGGTCGCCCTTTATGTTTTTTGCACAACAAAACGAGTAGCCTCAAGATACATGCCGCATCCTGTCCCCGGAGTTGGGATACTTTTCTTACAGCGTGGTGACTTAAAATGAAGACGAAAAAGCACGGTCAAAACAAAAGCCACAAGGGGACCGCAGGTTTAGTGTTTGATGGGTTCCATTTGGAGGTTGCCCTTTTTTTCTTTGACCCACAGCCAATAAACATTATGCGTATATATATATATATATATTGCGCAGGCCCAACTTCAACAAAAACTTGCAGCAAGCACTGGCGTTTCCAGGCGTCCTCAGGTTTCTTGGTCGCGGTTTTCTCGGAACAAGCTCTGCGGTGAAGTCTATCAACGCGGCATTTCCTCTGAAGTTTCAATGCATGCGATGCATACCTTTCTGGGAAGGTGTGTCCCTTTGGAGGAATGTTTCGACGCGTTTCGGGGTCTGCCCCATAGGAACGGGACGCAAGCTCCGGGAATCCAAATTCGCAAAGGGCGCTTGGCCGACTTTCGCGCCCAGTTCGCCACGGATGAGCCGGCGAAAACCTTGGTCCGCCTCGGCCTCAGTCGGGTGGCCGGGGTGTTGAGCATACCCTGATTGTGTTTTTCTGATAGGCACGCCCAAAAAGCCAGCGCACCTTGCTTCTCAACCTGGATGCAACTTGTGGATCTCCAGGTGGCAGATTTGTTCAGGATCCATACTTGCCCTTTTGGTGGTTTCCTTTTGAGCTGATGTTCAAAGGGGAAGTACGGCTATGAATTTCAATAGGGAGCTCCATACTAGAAAGGTGGAGTCTCTTTCAAAATGGGATGCGGGGGTGAGTCTTTGAAGGGGGAAACAAAAAAGAGACCAACAATTTTTGGGGCGATTCTTATGCTGGAAACCATACACCCAGTTGCCGCAGGCGAATCGACCTTTTGACCTTTTGTTTCCCTTTGGTCCATTTGAGTCTAGGCTCCAAAAGCTTAAGCTGGAGGGGTCATTTTTGAGGCTGCCCCCCAAGAAGGTGGTGTGGCTCTTGGTTTCCCGTTAAAGCCACCAAAGACACCCAGCTTCCATCTCCAGCGTGTTGCCGCAAGGTGTGCTGGGCCTTGCCACCGGCGTTACTGCGGAGGTGTCTGCGGGAAAAGGCGTGGGGCCCAGAAAAACACAGCGGGAGTGACCTGGTCACAGGTTGGATGTGTAGGAAGCTTCATACAAGAGTGTGGCGCACACTTGTCCCATGTTTGGCGATCAAACTCGTGGCAGTTGAGAGTGGGGCAAACTGATGCCAATACCAACCATTGTCATTTTGGAGTCCAAGCCGACGTCAAGAACCAATTGTGAGGCCTCTAAGATGCCTAGCTCAAGCAAGACAACACAAGTGAGATGTGCTTTGTAGCGGCAAACGTTCAATGTGTTTTACATGTGAACGTTCGGAGCCGTGTTGAGGAAAGCTGTATCGCCTCTTTTTCTGATACAGTGCAAGCCCAGGAAAGCGACATTCCTTGCACCCCGTATTCATCGCACACGCACCAGGACATGATACAGAAGGCACTGCAGCACTCAGTGGATTGCACAGGGTGTCTTCATGTCCTACCCCCTGAAAAATCGAGCAACCTCACAAGAGGTTGCACTTCGCAGCTCCAGGCTCGGGTGCGAATCTGGAGGGAGAGCGTCACACCTGCGAGATCGACCTCATGAAGCCGGGAGCCCAGTGCGAAAGCGTGACCAGGCTGGGCATGCTGCAGGGGTTCGAGTTGGAATAAATGTCCATCTGTCTGTTTGGGAAGGACAGCAACAACATCGGAGGTGTATGGCCATGTTGGTTTTCCCAAATAGAAATGATTGGATGGATATCGAATGACCCCTGTTCTTAGTCGTCACTATTTCTTTTATAAATGGATACTCGGATTTGAATTGAAGAGTGTGAGTTGTTCTCGTTTTTGCATACTTGTCGCTTGGTTTGAGGCTGTTCGGTGGTTTCGTCGTTTTCCTTCTGGCCTGCATAGGTTGAACCACCAGAGGTGTACGCCTGGTTTCATCCAACTTGAGTCCACGCCAAGCAGCACGGGAGATATCTCGTGAATGGGTCAATTGGCAACAGAATCCTACAGCGGTTGCTATCTGATAGAATGCAATCGGTTTATCTATATGCTGTTGTATACAACGTGTTGGAAGGAGCACCTCTGGAAAGCAAAGCTTTGTGGAAGTTCCATGAGTGAAGTACAGCTTTCAACACATCTGTTTCCGAAGCCCTGGCTGGGGTAGCACAAGGCTCTCGGGGTAGCGCAAGCCTTTGAGGCTTCCTTTTGGAGATTTCTGAAGGGCTCGTCTTTAGTTGGCACACGTGTTTGTGGTTTCAAAGGGAAAAACGCAAGACCGAAGCCATTTTGGGGGCTCCGATTTCAAAGCAAGACGCACCCATGTTATGTCTTGTTTTTCAAGAATACCACCTTTTTCAGGTGGGAAAGCCCAAAGTCGGGGCCAAAAAGACACACCCCTCAGTTCCCAAGAGAAGTCTGGCCTGAGGCACGACCTCCTGGGTGACCGCCTGGAGTTGCGGATCTGGGCCCGGCTCCAAGAGCCACGCGTCGAAAAACTCCGGATTGGCGCTTCGTTTTTCTCCCAAAGGCTCGGAAGGTCCCCCAGCTGGGTGCCCTTCTCTCCCATCTTTTGTGGGGGGAAGGTTCCGGTACGAAAATCGACTACAGAAGAAAAAATCGGGTACCCTTATTCTAAGCTCTCCACTGGACCTGGGCAAAAGAAGTGACTCATGCTAGGCTTGTGTCCTGGAAAAAAAAAGAAAAACAGAAAAATAATTGGATCTCCCATACCTGGCTGGTCTACAAAATTGGACAAGCTTCTGGGTTGGGATAGTTTTTGAACGCGACTTAAGTTCCGATACCTTGCCAGTGGAGGGGGGGGGGTTGAGGGGGGGGTTTAGGGTTTAGGAGGGGGGTTTAGGTTAGCTGGGTGATGACTGAGAATGGCTTTCAGCCAAAGGGAAGTCTATGTCTTGTCCCAGCGTCAAAGGGCCACGACTTCTCAATCCCCTTTTTGCGGCTCCGGCTAACGCAGGTACGTCGGTCCAGGTGAGGGTGTTACACCTGCAACTGGACATACTCGTGTGCCATGGCTCTATTTTTGGTCAAGAAACCAGACACCTTTCTGGATCGACTGAGAAATAGAAGCTCAAGGCCAAGGAAAGTCCCTGGCGACTGCGATGTTCTTGGTATCCAGCTATCCGGTTCAGTTGGTTTGGTTGGGGGGTGTCCATTGAACGCACAATAGTCGTTGTTTTGTTGCAGGGGATCTGAGGACAGCCCAGTTTTCTCCACTTTGTAAATCTGGGGTCATGATGTTGACTCTTCCTAGGCCTAGGGGTTATCAAAGTCAGAAAATGGAATCGGTTGTTTCCCTTTAACCTACCTCGAAGGGGGTGACTTTGACAATGGCAGAACAATGGGGCCAGTAAATTACCGTCGCATTTGCCTACATTCAGATGTTGGTCTTTTGTCCGGGTCGAATTCCGTTCTTTTTGTGCCATCGGCGCGGCAATGTTTCACTCCCAATCACCTGCCCTGTCGCGAGTGAGATCTTTCCGTGTCAGTGACACGTTGATTGCCCCATGTTCGAACTCGAAGATGTTTGCTTGTCGCATGTGAAACCTTGCAGTGACGGGTGACAGCCCTGCTCCATGATGTATTGTCAGGGTTGCAGCTACATGAGTCAAGTGGATGATCACACCCATGCCTCTAGGGAACCTTCCCCATTCTTTCCAGGGATCCGAATCTTGTCAGGAAACCATCAAAAGTCCGGGATAAAAACAGATCCGGTTGTTGAACAGAACGATGGTTGAAAAGAATGGGGAACGTAGGTGTCCTTTTTGGTTGGTTTGCTTAAAAAATAGAGGGCCCTGGTTTAGATGGGGTTTATTCCATTTACCAGGGCCATCTATTTTTCCAAAAGGCCACCTATGATGGGGAATCAACCCCTAGACTGCCCCTGACACTTCCAAAGCCTCGAGGCCTCGGAGGACGAGAAGACGGGAGGCCGGAGTTCGTCACACCCAAATCCTACCCCCAGTTAAAACCGTCCCACATCCAACCACCAAAATAGGCTCCAAAATGGGTGGTGAATTCACCCAATCCCCAAAATGGGATCCCATTAATTTTGAACCATGGCCACATGTTGCTGTTCTTCTTTTTTCACCAAGACCGTTTGCCTTTCGTGGACTTGCTACGCGCCGCGGCAAGTTCTCCCTTGAACAACCGGCAAAGAAAGGTATGCAAGAGCACTTGGCGGAACTACTGCATTTCTCTTTGGATACTCCTGTGCACCAACCAATTTGTACAATGTCCTACCAGTCTCGGTCTAGTATTTGCAAACGGCCGTGCTAACACATGGTGCGTCCCAAGTTAGAAAATCCGAGTTTGAGAGGATTTTATCGGATGCCCTATCTTGGGAGACGCCTAAAACTTGGTGAGTCATTGCCACTTTGTTCCAATGTCTTGCTCTGATCAAAAGCCTAACACATGACCAACAAGCTAAACAGCCCATGTGATTTGTTCCACCAGTAGAATCTAAAACACACATTTTGGGCGAGCCATGACTAGCCTGTATTCCCCAAAGATTATGATGAACGAAAGTTTTCCAACACATCATGCTCCTAAACCCATTGGGTGGCGAACCCATCTACGTCGACAGCCGCAAGAGGGCAGCCGGCTTGGACAGCAACTTCAAGGTCGACCTGGAAGAGTCTCTGCACCTCCAAAGCGACGCCCGGCTGGCCGTCTACAAGATTCGCCTAGCCGCAGCTTCCTGTCGACCGACCGGGACCGGCACCTCTCAGGTGGTTGAACTATCTCTTTTCTGGACAGCAGGTGTCCTACCGTTGTTGCCGGCGTTTGCAGGAAAGACCCAAATGGCTATCCCAGTTGAGCGATTTGCCTGAAGCCAGGGAAACCGTCCTTCAAGGATAAAATCCGGTTGTCCACTCTAGGGATAGCGGGTTTTTCCTTTATGTGCCAAGCCTGGCTTTGGGTCAAAGCTAAACCACCACACACCGCAACATTTCCTCTATTTGGTTCCATTCACCGCACCCCGATGTTGGGGTGACCCAGCCGTTGACGACTCTCGGGGTCTCGTGGATCGATCCGCCGCTCCGCGATCCGCGACGAGGCTGGGGCCCGGTCGCCTTCGATGTGCCCGTGATGGAGGTCTTTCGCAAGTCCTTGTCAGGCGTCATTGGGGGATCGAGCGAGATGCGTTGCGCCAAATTTGGGGCAAAAGGAAGGTGTTCCTCTTTTCCTGGTGGCTCCGATCATCCATCCGGTTCAACTTGGCCGACTTTAGACTTTTAGTGTTTAGTGGTTGGGTTTCTATTTGACTCACTAAAAGTTAAACTTTTAGCAGGGGATCCGAAAACGGGCAGCCCAGTTTTGGCTCGTCATTGGGCGTCTAAATTCTTGAAACCTCGGGGACTCGTTGCCCCCAAAGTGGCAAACGGGATGCTTGGCTTCGCCTTGTTTGAAGGCGAATGGCGGTGCCAACTTCAAACATCCAAACATCGGCGAGTGCCTGGGTCCCCGAAACTCGCGCAACCGGTTTGTTTCTTGGGTTCCCGAAAGGAGCCACTCGCCAACATGGGGCCCAACTAGAGTTACATCTGTAAGAAGGAGCCACCGATGCGGGACGTCTGTTTTTGGGAGTTCGGCAGAGTTTGTTTGATTTTATTCGCACTTTGCCCATGGGTTCGTGCTTTGTCTGGTTGAAAATTCGGGAACCCCACCATTGGTTCCGAAACCCTTTGGTGTCTCCCCTCAAAACCCCAACAGTTACCCTCAGAAGAACACGCACAAAAAAGTGCTCTCATGTGTCAAAGGCCATTTAATGTGCTTGGAGGTATGAAGCATATGCAATTACCATAAACCCTGCAACTCCCACATCCATCACCTCATGTCTATGGACAATCGCGTGAGTCTTTGGATTCCGCATGGGCAAACAGTCGCTACCCTTCCGCTTCCGTAAGGTTCACACAGGCCGCCTTCCACAACTCAGAAAAAGAGAGGAGCTTGAAGTTGGCATCCTTTGAAAAAACTGGCGCTCGGCCAGGAAGCATTGGAATTTGGCTTATGGATCCCCATTGATTCAATGAGATGATATATGTCTTTTTGTTCTCAACTTGCTTCGCCAGAAAAAAACAAAAGGAGAGAAAGGAACATGGAGCACACCCGACAGCGTGGTCCACATGAACCTGTCCAATGAAAATTAATTGTGCGCGGGTACCTGGAAAGCTGTGGTGGGGTGATCCATCTCCTTCATCTCTCTCGCATATGATTGATGAGCGAGATTGAGATGGAAGGACGGCTTCCTTCGTCATCCTTTATTATTGGCCATCACCTCCCTTTCCCAATCCTTTATCATGTTGTTTGGGATCTGGTTAGGATTGGGCAAGCGAGCTATCCTCTCCATCCAAAGCCATTCACTAGGCCGTGATAGGGAGAGAATGGGCCATCATTTCATTCCCTTCACCCAAGAGATAGGTGTTCCGGTATGTGGAGTCATTTCTTGAGACCATTGCATGGCAACTCTGTCCAGCTGACATGTCAGCGTTCTATGCAGAACGGCAATACTTAGATCTTTCCTGTAGAGAGCTTCTTGGTTCCGGTGGGCGCGATACAACCGTGGCCACGAGAAGCTGAATGACTAGCCTCCTGGAAAGGTGCATGGCAAGCCTTGGCGTCAAGTTTCTTTGCAAGCTAGGAGAGAGGGTGTCTGGCAGGGAACGAGAAATTGAATGACCCCTGTAAACCATCCAACTGGTGGTTTCCCCCTTAGAGGGGATCCCCAGGCTCATTCCCTCATTCCCTACTGAGCACCAACGAGATCAGTGATAGGCACCACATGGCTGTGGGTCAAAAATAGGTACCCAAAATGGACCCTGGTAAATGGAAACATGGACAAAAACCCGCGGTCCCCTGGTGGTTTGATTTTGACCCATGCCCATGTGGTCTTATATGTCCTTACTCACAGCGCGAGACAGGCGTGCTGCAAGCCCACAGCGTCCGCAGACTTGCCGCGCACCAAGTGGTGCCCGGTGATGTTTGAGGTATGGACCCTGAGGATGGAAGTTGAAAGGAGGGTTGTGGAAGACTGCCATCCTTGACTGGTATTGGGTTGGATCTTTAGACTTAAGTTGGGTTTTCCACTAAACCCCCAAAAAGTTTTTTTTTTTTTTGCAGGGGGTCAACAGCAATCAAGCATCCTGCTTAGGGACACTTGTCCACTTCCTTGATTTTTGGGCAAGCTGGTAGTTTTGCACAAGAGCGGACATGGCACACCTCATTAGCGACTGACATGTGCTGAAGAGCGGTCGACATCTCGACATCTCACTTTATGCTGTGCCTCGCATCCTTAGAAGCAACAATGAAGGATCTCAAGCAGGGCTCCTTAAAAAATACATGTTGCCCGTTTGAAACATGGCGTTTTCCACCAACATAAAGGGACATCACTGCATCACCATGTACAAGGCAATGTTCAGGTGTATAATGTAAGGATCCCTGTCAAAAAAAAAACTTGTCTTCCCAAGACATCGGCCGGCCTTGTTGACGCGTTGCACATGTGCGACGCTTTGTGTCCGGTCAGGAGGGAGGACTCTATGTGTGAATGGGCGCGGGCTCACGGGTTGCATGGCTGTTGCGGGGTTCATCTTTTCCATCAGTAGCTCTGGCCAATTGAGCTGTTTCCTAAACTTAGGAGCACCGTTTTTGTTGAAATGAAATTCGCAAGGAGATAACTCTGGATGCAGCCAAGTAAGGGGTCCCGTTTGTTTGCCATAACCAATCGGAAAAGGGTTATATAAACACAGCGATGCAGTGGGATATCGCGCAGACAGGTTGGGCAAGCGGCAAGCACTTGAAGAAGTACTGTTGCAAATGGAAGTTGGCATGCAGATTGGCTGATTTTACCGATCCGCCTATTCAACACTTACATGAAACTGGCTGACCATGAACGACTAAGACCTGTCTGACAACCACTGGGTATTACAACCTGTGACAACGTGCCGAATCTCTGCTACTCAAACCATTAGCCGGTGAAAATGCGTGAGGGGTGCTCAGTCCACCATGCACGCGCGCTAGCTGGCTGCCAAATGCTTCAAAGATGCTTGGCAAAAAAGATGCCTCGCGTCCGCACGAGCGACCGTGCGGAAAAGGGAACGGGCAACGCCGTGACACTGTCAGCAGGCGCACGTGCAAGAGAATGCACCGAAGGCCTGTTTGCATTTTTTGCGAGGCAGCGCGCAAATGTGTGTGTGTGTGTGAGTGTGTGTGTGTGTGTGTATGCGTATGTGTGTGTGTGTGTTTATGTGTGCCCGTGCATGTTGCCTGTGCATGCAGAATAAGCAGATTTAGCTGTTAAAGATACTCAGTCACAATCGTCATCAAGAGTCCTTTTGATGGAGGTAAACTTCCAGGCTGATATTTGCCCATTCATACTGTGGATGGACGAAATCCTGCAGCACTTTGAATCAATGGTAAAGCGTTGTTTGTTGGAATTTACGTTGGGGAATCATCAGAAACCAGGGTTTCTGAACGGTGCGAAATGGATTTCGCAACCATCCACAGTATCGAGCTGAGTGCCACTTGTTCGAGCTTCTTTGATGTGTGGGGCTCGAAAAACAACGCTGTTTCAGCACCGCGGAAGGGAGCTGACGGTTGGCGGAAACTGGCCCAAGAAAATGGGGATCATGAACAGGACTGGACTTATGCTGCAAGCAACCATATATGTGTTTGTTTCATGGATGAACTACCATACTTCTTTATTTCATGGATGAAGTCCCGTACTTGTTTTGTTTGGATGACTTCCCCCAAAAGGAAATCCAAGAGTCCAACAGGAAATCTCAGGGAAGGACAGACGGTTTCTCCGGTGCGTCTATGCGGCCCGGCCGGCCCAAGCAGTCATGGCCTCAGAGTGCCAAGAAATCTTGCAGGCAACAAGGGGATGTCTTCACTTGGTGGCTCCCAGCCATCCGGTTCCTTAGATTTTTAGACTTTTAGTTGGTTTAGTGGCAATTGGTTTCCATTTCACCCACCAAAAGTTATTCACATTTAGCAGGGGATCTGAGGACAGCCCAGTTTAATCAACCATAGCTTGTGGTTGGTTTACTTAGGGCATCTACCGTAGCTTGAGCGAATTCCTGAGTCATCTGATTCAGAGCCATGAGTGGATTGCTCCTGGCAAACTTTTGCCCAAAGACACCCTCGCCTTGCCCTGGCTAAATCGAACCTCGGATGGAGCAAGCCAAATGTGACAAACCATGTGACCACATGCGTGCGTGCGTGCGTGCGTGCGTGCGTGCGTGGGTGGGTGGGTGTGTGTGTGGGTGGGTGGGTGGGTGTGTGCGTGCGTGCGTGCGTGCGTGCATGCATGTCGCAGGCACATGTGTTTGTGCGTGTGTGTGCGCTTTCGCGTGCTTGTTGGCACCGTGTGTATGTGTCTGGAGAAAAATACAAGCCTTTTTGGGAAAAGCGTGTCTTGGGCCACATGGCCCCCCTCAGGGCAAGGCAAGCACCCCCCCCTCCAGGGTTTTAGAAAGCAAGCGCATCGGGTGAGGGGCAGTTCGTTCGGCAGAGCTGCCCCGTGGCTGAGGTGAGATCCTCATGAAGGTCTGCGGCTTAGTCTTCACGGGCCAGGCCATGGAAGCCACAAGGGGGCCCAGGGGTCACCATGAGACCCAAAGACATGGTGTGTTTTTTTCTGAAGCAAGCCATGACCAAAACTTCCCCGGTGGTACTCTTATCTGGGTGCTTGCTCTTGAGGCTCAAGGGAAGCTGAAGGAAAGCGCAGAATCCTTGTGATCATGGCACTCCGAGGTGACTAGTCCCACATCTCGGGTGGCTGGTGCAAGCGCCATGTTTATTGCCGATCTGGGTGCGACCTGGTAGCCGTGAGAAATCCTCACACATCGGGCCTCTTCAGAAGTGGGTTCAATGTACCTCAATGGTGTTTTGGTCTACGAGCTGTGCTGGTTCCTTCCATCATATTGCGGTGTTGTTGAGGATAGACTGACAACATGTTTGGCCAGTTTGCCAACTGATTGTTTGCTTTGTTTTGTTTGTTTTTGTGCTTTCGTGTTTGTTTGCTTGCTTCCTTGCTTGCTTGTTTGTTTGTTTTTTTTGTTTGTTGGTTGGTTGGTTTGTTTGGTTGTTTGGTTTGTTTGTTTCATTGATTGATTGATTCATCAATTGTTTGTTTTTTTGTTTGTTTGTTTGTTTGTTTGTTTGTTTGTTTGTTTGTTTGCTGGTTTGCTTGCTTGCTTGCTTGCTTGCTTGCTTGCTTGCTTGCTTGCTTGCTTGCTTGCTTGCTTGCTTGCTTGCTTGCTTGCTTGCTTGCTTGCTTGCTTGCTTGCTTGCTTGCTTGCTTGCTTGCTTGCTTGCTTGCTTGCTTGCTTGCTTGCTTGCTTGCTTGCTTGCTTGCTTGCTTGCTTGCTTGCTTGCTTGCTTGCTTGCTTGCTTGCTTGCTTGCTTGCTTGCTTGTTAGTGTTGTTTGATTGTTTTTTTTGTTTTTTTTTTTTTTTTTCTTTTTTTTTTATGTTTGCTTGTTTGTTTGCTTGTTTGTTTGTTTGTCGGCTTGTTTGTTGGTTTGTGCGTGTGTGGGTTGTGTGTTTGTGCAACGATGTGTTTGTTTGGGCAGGCCAATCCGCGAGTTGTCGTTTCTCAAGAGACAGTCGTCAAAAGCACACCCGTTGCAGCCGCAGTGGGGGCAGCTTAGGCGGCTTCATGCTCCAGTTGGGTGTGGCTCAAAATTAAACAGGAGGGGTTACGCAGGTTTTGGTCCATGTTTCCAATTACCAGGGTTCCATCTTGGTACCGGTTTTTTGAGCCACAGCCAGTTGTTCCCCCTGTGGCATTTGACCAGTTCAAGTGGGTCACACAGCTTCCCAGTGCAAACCCACTCGATCCCTTCGAGGGGTTTCCCATGAAATCGTGGAAGTCCAGTCCCTTTTTGCTGGGTTTCCCCCATCTAGGGGTACCTTCGCCATTCTTTCCAGGGACCCTTCTTTTTAGGAAACCATGAAACACCCAGGGGAAGCAGCCGGTTTTTGAAAAGAACCACGGTTGAAAAGAATAGGAATCAACCCCTAGAATGGAATCACCCCAGCAGGACGTTCCCCGTCGTGCGTGCCAGGACCTGCACCTCATCAGCCCAGGAAGGTCTTTGGCCCCTCGGCTCCACTGCGCTCTCCGGACCCCGGATGACTCGACTCTCGGGGGGGGGGGGTTCTGCAACAAGCGGTTTGCCTGTAAAATGTTACATCCAACACACACCCTCAACCAGGGGGTTGGGAATGCATCAAAGTGAGCTGGGCGATGCTCAAAGGTAATGGCCGAGTTTGTGAGAAAAAACCGGCAAGCGACCCCAAAGAGACGGGAATCCACGAGGTAGTACGAAAGTAGCCGCAGCTTCAGTACAGAATTTTCTGAAATGACCACAAGGTCTTGCACATGCTCTCCAAACAGAAGCCTTCTGAAAGCTCCTATGAAAGGATATTCTGTGGAAAGAGGTTCCGCACAAGATTTCTCCCAACAAACACTCTACTAATGTTTCTCTTTTGACATTCTTGGGCAAGATCTCTGTGGAAGGATCTTTGCACAATCTGTGGCAGCATCTCTTGACAGGATATCTTGGCAAGATCTGTGCGCAGGATCTTCGAGAGAATCCTCTAGAAGTTCTCTTTGAAAGCATCCTCTGCGGGATCTCTCGTCATGAAATCTTTGCAGGTCCTGGCAAGATCTGTTCGCAGACATTCAAGCCCTTTGTCCAGGATCTGTAGAGAGCACCCACTACAAGATCTCTCGCAAGAGAGTCGAGTACCTCGATGTTTTTAATTTGCGCAGCGCCACAACGAGAGCGATCCGACCCGAGGTTCAGCTTCGATGTGCAAAATGCGCGCTGCGGCACGGCGATCTGCCCACAGCGACAGCGATTCAACGCGCCCAAAGTCCGCAGAGAGCGCAACAATTCATTATTTTCGGGATTCGCACGGCGCCGCAGCGAGAGCACAATATCGAAAGACATCAGCGAGCTGGGCAATCACACTGCACACGCAGACGAAACGCCTGGCCCAAAGAGCGTACGCTGGGTGAAGCCGGCCTTTTCTCCCACCATGGGGGCCCCTTTGTGTAGACGCACTGCTTTTCGAAAAGCAAGAGCAGAAGAAGTGACTCATGCTCAAAGGCTCTTGTGGCGATGCGTTCGGGGAGAGTGCCTGGCCAACCCTACCGCCAGTTCACAAGGTAATTGGGCCCACTTATTGTGCTGGGATGGACAACATGCACCAGTCACCATCCAATTGCATCACCCTGTTGTGGGCAAAGATGGGGAGGGAGAGAGACACAGAGAGAGAGAGAGAGAGACACAAAGAGAGACAGAGAGAGAGAGAGATTAGAGGTGAAGTGGCTTTTGAGCCATGTTTGCCTTGTATGGTTCCCCTGTTTTGCATTTTGCGCCACGCAAAATAGAGGTTGCCTATTTTGAGAAGGGCTACATCTGGGTGTTTGAGCTCTTTGGTTTGCCTCAGCCTCGCGACGGCGCATCTCAGACTGGAGCTCATTCCGGGATGTGGCCCCGAAGGACGCCGGTCGTGGTCCCTATGTCAGGTTGCGTGCATGGCAAGACCGGGGAAGTGGTTTCTATTGGACGCATTGACTGAGGCACGACTTCTGGTTGCTGGTGGTTCAATGCCGAGACGACACAGGTGCATACGCGCAGCATGTTTCAGTTCATGGTTCCTAGAAGACTAGTGCTTACTCAACCTTCACTCTCCATCAGTGGTGACATGGCTGTGGGTCAAAACCAAAGGTACCATCTTGGGGTAGGTGCACCACCCATTTAGAACCTATTTTGGTGGTTGGATTGAATCGGATGTTCACACTGGGGGTACGATTTGGATTTTAACCCATGGCCACATCATTTTCCCTTCCACCACTTCTACATGAGGCGTGCCGTTTATAGTTTGTTTAATGCAGCCTACACGCTCGAAAGCGCGAGGAGCAGCGCCCATTCGCACCGGTGCCGGTGATCCTTAGGCGGGAACAGATGTTCCGACTCCACGCGGAACGCCTGTCCACTTCCATGATTGGAAAGATATGGTACCTCTTCACAACCATAAGGGGATTTACCCTGTAATTTTGGGGCAATATCCAAGTTGCACGGCGCTTTTGAGGGTCCAGGTACTTCTCTATAGAGGTATTACCATACAGCCAAGAGCATCCCATGGCACTTGGGTCATGGAAACGGTGTTGGAGCTAGCAGCGCGCAGCACCCGAGCAAAATGCCTGAAGTGAGGGTCAGAGTTGCCAATCCCAAGCCTAGGTTGTAGGCAATGGGGCAATCGGGACTTTGTGCATCCGCACTTTGAAAGGCTAGGACCCCCAGTAGTGCCCTTTTGCTCTTTTTTTGGGAGGGTTCCCCTACTAAAATAGACTGCAGAAGGAAACAAATCGGGTACCCTTATTCTAACCTCTCTACTGGAGGGCTCACCTGGTTGCGCATAGCTCGAAGGGCCGTTGGAACCACCGCGGTGGACTCCTTTGGAAGTATCAAGTTTGGCCTAACCATTTCAGAAGAGCACAAGGATATTGACTTTGAGATCATTGTCCAAACATAGCGATCGACCCTATGTGAGGTCTGAATCTGGGGCTAGGGAGCTGACCATTTGTTGAAATGAAGTCATGACGAAACCAACCAAGTTGGAGCGAGGGCTAAAAGGCCTGCAAGGCGATAAGAATGCGGTGCTGGTTCCTGTAAGGGTCTACAGTGCTTGCGTTGGGGCTGTGGCACTTGCTGACGCACAACCTGACCAAGCCGGATTTGTGCGAGTGGATTGAAGAGATGATGGGCGAAGCAGCTAGAAGTGAAAGACTGACATTCCTTTTGGGCTCCCTTTAAACCAAGGTGAAGTCTACCCTCCGAATTCCACACACACACACATGGCGGTTTACTCAGTCCTTTGGCATACCACAAAATCGCGCCGTGGTTGGCGACATCTTTGGATCCTTTCGTTTCGGGTGCTTCAGTGACACCCGCTAAATCCCTTGTTTCCAGGGGTACCTTCCCCATTCTTTCCAGGGATCCTTCTTTCTAGAAAACCTCCGGAAACCCACAAAATACGGCCGGTTTTTGGAAAGAACGATGGTTGAAAAGAATGGGAAAGCAACCTCTAGATTTTTGCTTTTTTGATTCCCATGGACTCAACCCAAAAAATCGGCATGCAGCTCCCCCGTTCAACGGTCTCACTTGCGGGGTGTGTCCAGAAACGGCTTGAGAGCCCTTGCGCTTGCTGCTGGGGTCTTTGGTCCGCCAAACGGGTGGCTCGGCGTTGTCTGAGGAACCCTGTGCTGGTTGATTTGAAAGGGAAGCCAAAAGGAACATCACTTGTTATTCTTCTTCTTCTTCTTCTTCTTTTTTTTGGGGGTGGGCCTTGAAAAGAGAGACACCCGTGTGGGCCAGAATCCAAAATGGGCATTAACGGCTGAGGAAAGCTGGGAGACTCGATTCGAAACTGGCCGCAGTTGCTGGTAGGTGTTCAGCTGGCGTCTACTACTTCCAAAACCAGCCGTCAAGGGGATTGCGGGGTAAGCACTACATGCTCACCATACAAAGAAAGTTACATGCCCCATTTCACCATACAAAGGTTAGATGCCCCATTTCACCCCATACAAAGAAAGTTAGATGCCCCATTTCACCCTGGTACAAAACAGACAAAATGAGACGAGGCAGTTTCCAGGCCACTCCCTGAGTTCCTGGGCTTACAATTCAGGGACTTTTCCGATCAATCCATTCAGGAAGTGATCCAAGTTGCATTGGTTTAGCACCCAGGAAAGCAAATATTGGCCTTTTCCGTGCAAGTTGGCTTTTGTCCGTCCGATTCCACTTTGGCCAGGCGTGAAGACCAGAAGCTGACCGAAGGATGGCCGTGAATGTGGCTCACAAGTGAAGGTGCCTTAAGGTGCTCTTTTTGAGGCGTTGGGGAAAGCCAAAAGGGGGTTCCACGCCATGAGGGTTGCTCCATGCGACAAGCCCAAGAGCCAGCCTTGCGGTGGAAGCAGTGAGGCTCGTGGGTTGCGCTTTTTTTTTTGCCATTCCTCATTGGGGCCAAACCTCAATTGGCCAAAGTGGTTCCTCTACGAGCTTTGTGGGGTTTATAGTAGGCTTTCATATAAGCCTTCAAAACCGATGAAACGGCACAGTCGGTGTTTTATTGGGCGCTCAATTGGTGGATTGGGATGCACCAATCCCGAACAAATTGGACAGCACAGATCTGGCTCCCGAGAGACTCTATGAGTGAACCGAGGGGTTGCTGCAATTCGACTCAAGGCTCCCTTCGGAATGCCGCCTATGAGCTATAGTCAATCCGTGATTTGGTGGGGACAGTCTCACACTGGTTTAATTCCAGGTTTTCTGAACCCTGCAATGGTGTGAGTTTTGAGTCATTTTGCTGGTGCCCATAGGAGCTTCTTATCGGTGCAACCCTTATGGGCTTACGGGATGTGCTGAGGCCAATGGTTGTTGCAAACCCAGAGCCTGATTTCCACAAAGGTCTGTTATAGCTCCTGCTTCCTGGATCTCTCCAGCACAAACATATGAACTCGAAGGATCCAGTTGTGACGGCACCTGGATTTTTTTTTTTTTTGTGTGTGTTGCATGGTTTCACCGTTTGTTACGGGGTTAGCTTGGTCCTTTGGCAAACCGTTCGTCATGACCTAGGGCTTCTGGACAGGTTTCCGTCTGCTTGTGTGTTTGCAGAGAAGGGAAATTCCATGTCCAATCCATCAATAAAGGCACGGCACAAGCGATGACTGACCACGCATTTGACACAGTTCTCGCACGGATGGTTCCCCTACAGATTTGCAAGTGCTGGCAGTGATTTCTGAAAGTTTTCCGGTCTGTCATGGCTTCTGCGATGAATCAACCATACCCCATAGAACCCTGACTGAAGCAGTTGAGGGTCCCAGCTGTAGTTCTATCTTAAAAGCATGGGGGGTAAGTTTAGATTGCTTTTGCAATTGGGTCATTCTTAGATTCGTTTTTTCGAGGTTTCCCCCATCTGTGGAATCTAACAGGTGTACCGTTTCCGGAAAAATGAGTGCAGGCTTTAGGTGGGACAATGTCCAAATGGTTCAGTCGGTCTATGGGGGGGGGGCTAAACACCTTGACTGCTATTGGGTTGGATCTTTAGACTTTAACTGTTTGGTTGAAATGAAGGGGTTTTCCACTAAACCCACAAAAAGTTAAGCTTTTTGCAGGGGGGCCAACAGCAACAAAGACGCGTTGGCAGTTTGGGGACAGCGGCGCTTTTTTTTCAGGATCTCCGAGTCCGACCTCGCGCCCTAAGGCGGTCCGCGTCCGGGTGAATCGAGCAATGGCGGGGGGAACCCCGTGTTCTGAGAAACGGGTTCCGATCGCAGCAATCTGTTGAGCATCTAGCCGCATTTTTTGAGATCTTGTTTTGGGTCACCCAACATGCTGTTTGCCGCCAAGTGGCTGCGTCAGCCGACCACTCCTTGGTCAGCTCCTTGAAACTGTCCCTTAAGCGGCGCCCATGTCGTTTCCTCCAGGTGAGGCTTCTCAGTCTGTTGAATCGTCATGAGGCAAGTTGCGGAGCCGGATCCCAAGTTTGTTGCCTTTTTGAGTCAACATCTTATGCATACTGTGGATGGACAAAATCCTGCACCACTTGGAAACCATGGGAAACCCTTGTTCATTGCATTTTTTCCGGGGAATCATCATTCCAGGGTGGTGCAGGACCATCCACAGTATGTATTTATAGAGCAATATAAATTGTTGAAGTTGCTGACTTGGAAGATCGTTTAGGCAAAGCTTGCTGCGCAAAGCAACGGCTTTTGAGGAATGAGACCCGGCTATGCCAAGTGTCAGGGTTGAAAACGCAAAGAGAAGTTCCCTCAATGTCGTGCCTACCTTCTCCAACTTGCAGTGCTTGCAGAAGGCTTTGAGCTCTATATCAAGGCTGAGATGGTGATCTGGCATTCAGCCCATCAGACAATTGCCAATTTTCAAGGCAGGCCTTTTTCTTAAAAGATTCAATACACAACTTCGGAACGTGCTTCAAACTGACTCTTCAAATCGCACAACAAAAGAATTGCAACCACACAACACGTTGAAAAACACATGGTGTTTCTGTCCGCTGAGGGGCCCCTCGGCGTCTCGATCACCACCATCAAAGCTTTTTTCTTAACATCGCAGATCCGGCAAAGCATCCCAACCATGTGAGTTCCCGCCCGCGGGGGCAAAGAAAGCCTTCCCCCCCCCAAAAAAAAAAGAGACCGGGTGTTGGTGGGGATGTGATTTTAACATGAACAATGCTACAAAACACTGTATTTTATAGTGTTTTCTGGCAGCACCCCTTCTGAAAAAAAAAGGGGAAAAAGCTGAAACATCAGGGAGAAGGGCAGCCTCGGCCCGTAAGAGTTAAATCTTCGATCCTCGAATTCAGGTGGACCTGCTTTCGAGAGTGATGCAAGACACCTCACGACAGCACCTGGCTCAGAACTTGGGAGATGGTTCATGGGCTGAAAAGGCGACCTCGTTTCGATTAAAAGGTTGGCAAATCAACCATTCATAGGGGGTCAGCTCCAAACTTGGTTGCATCTTCCCAAAGAAAACGATGCGGGCGGTTTGGTCAGTTCGTTTGACTGTTTCGGGTCGGAGTTTGGGAGCCGCAGCGGTGGGACGGGATAGGTGGGGGAAAAATGGATGAAATCGGGCTCAAGTGTTTGAAGTCGCTTCTTGAAGTTTGCAGATCAGGGTCCCATTTCCAGTCTCTTGAGATGCCTCGGACATCTCCATGCGCGGGAGTTGAAAGGGGGATTTTGCCGCGAGGTGAAGCTGCTGCCTTTGAGCCAATTAGCCATCCGGTCCAAGGATGGGTAATTTTTGGTGAGGCAATTGTTTCCATCCCTGGGTGCACCAGGAGTTAGGAGCGTTTCTTTCCTTCTCAAGATGATCTGGTTCAAGGGGCTCGAAGGGGCGAGTTTTCTGGCAAAAGAGGAGAAGCGCTCACACCGCGTGCGGGTCGAACCCTGCCATCCTCTTGTCTTCTCATGTTTTTCTGTTTTTTGTTTTTTCTTTCTGGCTAGATCCCCTCTTTATTCGGAACCTGACCAAAGCTACGAACTGAAGCAACTCTTCAGCTGAGAGGATTTTGTTCCCGGCTGTCCCACAGCTATGCGAAGGGCGGCAAGCCGGGTAGACACCGACGAGGTCATGCCGTGGGCGGGCCCCAGACTTCAACGAAACAGCCAAGAGCCCAAAGAAAGGCCAAAGATAGGCAAAGCAACCATCAGGCTTGTACAATACACGCAAGTCCCGGTCAATTCGCTTTCGGCGATGTTTCTCTTTACAGTGTAAGGGGACAGACACTGTGCGGGGGCACGGAGGTACTCTGTGCGGCCCGCACCTCCCTTGTCCAGTTCTATTGAGGCGGGTGAAGAGTGTCGCATGGACATTGCAACAAGACAATTAGCGGGAACCCCCCCAACCAAAGGGTGTTTTTCCTTTGGGTTTCTCCAAACCAACGAAACACATGTGCCTTCAAAGGAGACACTCTCATACATGGTCTTGGTGTGCTGCCTTGAAAAGATCCGGAAGGCAGATCCAGCGTGCCAAAAATGAACATTGAAACATGTGTGGGCAGGGAGGATTTTCACCATTTCAACATCAAAGTGATGCGCATCCCTGTCGGGCCGGCCCTATTCTTGATAATAGGATGTGGTGAGGCATCTATGCCCAGATCTGTTGAGCATAATGTGTTGAACCATTTCGATGCCAAGGACTACTGACTGAAACGACCATGCAATCAATTTGCGCACGCAGGTTGACACGTCTATACCAGGCAGTCTGTCAAGCAGGACTGGAGAGTTCATGCAGGTGTTTGTCAAGGCAGCAATGCGCTGGTTGATCGTACGGCAACACGCAATCCTGACGTTTGGCCGTATAGCTTGCTAAATAATGAGTTGTAGGTTCATGGGCGCGAGCGCATCAAGCAACAAGAAGAGCAAGCTTCAGATGGTAGCGGGGAGAGTTCGAGAGTTCTGAGTGAGCATGCAGCTTTGCTTGCAGGAAGGAGTCAGCAGGCCTCAGCCCTAGACTCGCTGAATCAGCCTGACAGGGCCATCCTTGAAGCCGTAGCAATCCAAACTGTGAACACCTCTATCGCAGAAAAGCTCCTTAGTCAGGTTTTATGTTGGTGCACGCACGTGAGACTCCAGAAAAAATCCAGATGTGCATGAACCCAGCAAGTGGGCAATAATGAGATTGCGTGAGATTGCTGAACAGCACATGCACTGGACACCCAGAATTTTCATGGAACCAGTTGTGAGCATAACATGAACATCACAAGACTTTTGTTGGCCACTGTGGCACTCATTGTTGTTCTTTCCCAGAAGCATGCCAGAAATTGCCCAAGAGCTGGTTTCTTGTTTTCCTCATGTTGTTGGAATGTGAAGGATGTCTCCACAATTGGCCCGGTTTTCTTCAGCCCAGAACCACAAACGAGGGTGGCCCCCCATTTTGGGCCAACGTCTTGCGAGTTTCCAATGGAGCAGTCAACATGTTGAGGCCAGGCACGAAGGGCCGAACTTCAACAACTCTTGTTGCCAGCGCTCGACGTGTGACAGCTATGTGGAGGCTGAGACATTTTGCATGGCCCAGGCAGCATGAGCAGGCATGCAAGCAGTGCCCAAAACCGGTTGACATTGGTTCCACCAATCTCGTTTTTCAGATGTACACAGGCCAGCACAGTTCTGCTCATCAAACCAGATCGTGAAGCCCCATAACACTCTCCAAAACACATGTTGGTCGCATGCTAAGAGTCCAGATGAGTAGTTCCAGCACCTCAAGAGACCGAGAGACCAAGATCATGTTGACATTTCTCTCTACCCTATGCTTCCTCGACTATTCTTTAAATAGCCTCGACCATTTTTATTTTTTTTAAAAAAAAAGCCGATAAAAGTAATGTCCCTCGACCATTAAAGTAGGGCTAGAGAAACTTGGCCAACTTGAGACGGCTTGCTCCTGACATCTCCGCGCGCTTCTGTGCAGCAAGAGGTTCAAGAACTTTATTGTTTTTTGTTTTTAATTTGAACTAAGCTGAGTATGTTTCAGTCTTCATCCCGTTGTAATCACACGCCGTCACCATGCTGTTGTCCCTCACATGCACGTGCTTTCCCACTTTTGTCCACAGCTTCACAGAGTCTCATTGTGTGTTGTTTGTTGATTGTTGAATCGATGTTGCAAGGAATTGAGGCGTGGACAAACCATGGACAAACGTTTAAACGCGTGGAAAGTACCTTTAGAAGCGTGGAAAGTACATTTAAAAGCGTGGACAACCACAACGCATGCCTGATTGCAGCATTTTTCAAACAAGCCGGACTTCAGTACCAACATGTGACATATACTGCAGGCGATTTCGAAAAGTGAAGCGACCATACGCTTGGTGGGTGCAGTCATTTGCAGCTGAGAGGATGAGGGGCGGCGTGACTGTCAGTGACCTGACCCCAAACAATTCTCGGGCAACAAAAAGCTTGATTTGTTGGATATTCAGGACCAGGCGAAAAAAACGTTCTTTCGGCAAAAAACAGTCTAGCGACCTTGACCATTCTTTTAATGACATTTGGAAGCCTAGGGTCTATATTTTTTGCAAGCAAAAATGTCGTCGAGCCATGCCGATAGCCCCAGACTTAGGGAGATTCTGAGATGCGCTTTGTGCGCGTGTGCTGTCTCACATGAGCAGCTGCGGAGAGGCCGAGTGCACTTTTGTTTGGGTGTTTTTTGGGGGGAAGCCATAAGGATGCGCATTCCCGATTTCGAGAAATCTTAAATGTACCGACGCCCGAGGTCCGACGAACCAGACTATCATCGGCTCGGCCAACATGCAGCTCTTGGGTCAGATCCCAGCATCAAGGCTACGCATCAGGCCTATCAGGCAACCCCGCGCTGCGGGTCGAGTCCATGATTTGACTGTGCTTTACTTGCCAAGTTGGAGCGCACGGCTCGGACTTGCGCCTAGTCAGCGCTGCGGTTTGTCTCACATGCGTCCAACATAGACGGGACCTTCTCCAGTCCATTCCATGTCGCGGGTTCTTCCTTCATTGCTGCTGAAGAAAGTGTGCGATGTTGCTCTTTGAACTTGCCACTCCCTGTTGATGCCAACCGCGCCCTCCCATTCTCCATGCAGTTTGGCGGCGCCAAGGCTCCCAAGCCAGGAATGTCAGTACCCTTATCAGGCTTTTTCTGCAGCGCAGCCGCAAGCTCGTTCAACTCAAAAGTCCTTCCCTGCCGGCCAAGAAGGTGTGCGATGTGGTCCGTTGTGGCGAGCAGCCAACCATGCTCTTCCAGGTTTTGGCAGAGCTTGAAACGACTGTCTCTTCGCACAAGGGCGGTATGCAAGTCGTTTGGATGGCAGCCAGCGCAATCGAGGCTCCCAAGCCAGGCAGTCAGGGTTTGCAAGCGCAGCCGCGCGCTAGTTCAACGCTGGCGCAAGGTGTGCGATGTGGTTCGATTCGCCTCAGTTGTTGTGTTGTTGTCAGCTGCACCTGGGTCTTTGCCAGGCTGGTGCCCACGTCTGCGCTGGCCATGCTCTAACAGATCAGCAGGCAAGTCGTGTGTGTGGCAGCCAGCCCAATCAAGGCTCCCAAGCCAGGCATTCTCAGTACCCTTGTCAGGCATTTTTGCAGCGCAGCCGCACGCCAGTTCAACTGCTGGCACGTCTTTCCAGCTGCTCAAGAAGGAATCCGACATGGCGGCTGAACACTTTCACTCACCTTCGTCTTGCCAGCCATGCTCTCCCACGTCAAGCAAAGCCCAAACCAGGCATTGTCAGTTCAGGCTTTTTGCAAGCTAGTTCTTCACTTGCGCGTGTTCTTTCTTCCTCTTTGGACTGGGCAGCTGAACACTTTGACTCTGCCTTCATTGCTGTGTTGTCTGCACCTGGGTCTTTGCCAGGCTGGTGGTGTGGTGAGCAACCAACCGGGTTTGGCAGAGCTTGCAAGGAATGTCTCTTCGCACTAGGGCGGCGTGCAAGCCAGCCAAGGAAGGCTAAGACATGCCTTCACCCACTCGATTGGCCGGCCACAGGCCTGCAGCAACCCCGCAGCCTAACGGGCAGGCTTCAGCTGCAGAACCTGAGCGGAGTGTTGGTGCTTTGCCTTGCAAGCTTTCTCACGCTCCCCTGAAAGGTGCTGGCTATGAGGCAGGGTTGTGGCATGACTTTTTGTGAGTCGCAGGTTGAAGCATTGCTCCGCTCTGAAGTGCCTTGCCACACGTGGCGTTCAATGGCACACCTGTGCAAGTGCTTCCTGGAGTTCCTGGTGCGGCGGTCAATATGTCCTGACCGTTGCTCCTCCAAGGTTGCAAACCTGAAAGTGGGCATTTCTGACGGGGCGTGTGATCATGCGCAGGCTGCGAGACAAGCCGTGCCACTAATTGGAAGCAATCGCGGAGCCTGGAATGGATAATGCGCACAACATCTGCCACGCGGCTTGGTCTTTGCGCCTCTCCGACTTGATATCAAAGATTGCATGATGTGCATAGTTGTTGTATCAGGGTTGGCGGTATTGTGATTTGTGCGCATCTGCGCAGAAATGGAGAGGCTGCGATGGATTACGTAGACGGCATCTTAGTCTTGCCCCAGTCGGGCTGCAAAACGCAGCCGGAAGCTCCGCAACGGTCGATATTCACCATTAGTCATGGTATAGGGACGACACGAGGCGTCCCCGAAAATTCCTAAAGGAGAAGCGTGTAATTCACAATCGTCCAATGCCATTTGCGAAAAATGGGCGAACGATATGCATGCTGACCGTAGCCCATAGGAGTACTGTGTCAAATGGGGGAAGGACTGGTGCATAATGCACTGCAAAGCTCAAGCGCTTGTGAACTGTGGATCGGGAAAAAAACCATGCATCTGCCCGCCCACGGTCCCATCGGGGCCCCTAAGGCGTTTGCCTGTTGGTTGACCCTGCTCATGTCTTTTGAGGATAGCACCTTTCGGGGCCTTTACAGGAACCAAAATGCCTCGACTTTACGTAAAAGAGAAACATTTTGCTGGTGTTTCCTAAGCCTACGTATTAATATATGTATGTATATCAATACACATTATACATATACATATTGAAATGTGCACACATCATTTAAGTAATATGCAAATATCTATATATTTGCACCATACCCCCACTCCTGTGTTCCTTGTTATGTTTTCTTTATGCGTCTCCACTCGCCGGCAAGGTGCGTGGCCAGACGTGGCGGCGCAGGTGGCGGCAGTTGCAGCCCAGGTGTGCCCAAGTAAACAATGCGGCGATGGGATGGGGTGGAGAGGACTACTCCTTCTCCTGGACTCCTCTTGTTGGGGTTGTACAGGGAAACAAATGGAATCGACTTGAAGTTGCTTTCCCTGTATGTATTTTCGACAACAAGCCCAATACACCAAATCACAGTTTGGACACCTTTGGATTCGTCAGAAACGGAGCCATGTTGGAAATTCCTGGTGTCGCTTTCTTGGCCTGTCAATCAGGGGCAATCTCCTGATTTTTGGGCCGCGTTTTGGCCAGGTGGCGCGGCTGCCGATTCAGGGCGCGGCTCCCAGGGTCTCTAGAAAGTGCGCTTGCTCCCACGGACATGACGCCTCGGAAGATCAATTTCCTTTTGAAGGGACCTGGCGGATTTTATGCGGGAGGTAAGTAGCCCATTCACGTTTCCTAGCAAAAAGGGGACGGATACTTTTTGCCAGACGCCTGGTTTAGCGCCCAGGCGGGGATTGGGGGGGGTCCGGGCCAGGTGTTTACTCAGAGGGAGACAAACAACACATATGCAAAGGCCAGTTCTTTGAGGGCTCCTCGTTTCAGTCTAGGTTCAGTCTGTGAAGGTCAGGCTTTGGAGGGTTTGTAAGAATGTAATGTCAGATGCTAGGGAGTCACACACTTTAATTCCCGAGGGCGTGGTGTTGCAAGCAAGTAATTTGGTGGTTTGCTTGAAGCTTGGCTTGTGGTTTGTGTGAGGTGTCGAGCACGACTATGCTTTGGCGTAGACACCGGGTTCATGGCGCATACCGTGAATTGAGATGAATTGAAGCTAATGCAGTTGTGGGGGAGGCGGGGACGGCTCGCGCACTGCCGGACTTCTGACTGCGAGATCGTTCTTTTTTGGTCCCTCAAAAGCACCCAAAGTTGGAAACTGATTTCCCAGTGGCGCCCTTTGTCTTCGAGATCAGGGTTGAACAGAGTGGGGAGCTTCCAGCTATGCACGCACCACGAAGCGAACGCTCGAATTTCGTGGGACCGCGAAGCCGATCCGATCCCGAGACTGTTGCCAATCGATCTCCACGGGGCCGTGCGCTTGCTTCAGAAAGCTAAGGAGACAGGCAGGTTTGGGGACGTCATAAAGGAAGATCCCCAGTTACCATTTGAACATTGGGGTCCCTGGTTGAAATCTAGAGAGTGGACTAGCTTGAACATAAAACTGGGGAAGCTGGAGACCCAGTTCCATATGGGTCAGACATCCAATCCTGCGGGCCATCAAAACCGATAACCGGCCCGTTCTCAGGGTCGCAAATGGCTGGTCAAACCCTGTTACCTTCTAGGTCCCAGATTCCCTTTGAAAACGAACCAAACAACTGGGGGGTTACCCAAAAAAGGGTACCCTCCCACCAATGAACATAGAACCTGACCGGAGGATCCTGAGAGACGAATTTCCTTTTAAAGGGACTCTCTGTCAGGTTCCATATCATTTGGTGGGAGGGGCCCTCTGGGTTTTATAGGGCGGTCCATGTAGGATGAGAAGGTTTTGACCCACAAATGGAACAGCCCAGGGCGGTCCATGGGCTACGATGAGAAGATCTCTGACTCAGAGGCTCGGGGAATGCCACGGCCCAAGCCTTGACACCGCAACCGGTGTTTATTCGATCTTCCAGCTTCCAAAACCAGAGCAGTTTGTGAACGAGATTGTCTTTTGAACGAAGGGAGCCTTTGCTGTGAGACCAATGGGCTCAAGTCCACTCTTGCCCAATTTGCGAGGGATGACCAACCCATGCTTGCTGCTGGCCAACTAAGTTGAACGAACTTGTTGGGCCGGTCCCTCCTCCAGTCTGGGTTAGACTAGGATACATTTTACATTTTACCAGTGACTCAAAGGGAAGCAAGCAAAATAATAATATACATTCTATAACTGGGCCTAAGTCTAATCATGCAGTTTCGGCTCCGAAGATGTTCTCCTTGGCCCGACGATCGCCATCGTGATGATCTCCGCAAGACGCAGCTTGGCTGCATCGAAGGCATCCATGGGCTGGCGGTTCCCATCAAGCATGGAGGGAATCCCTACTGTGGATGGACAAAATCCGTTCGCACCACTTTGAAACCATGGTTGAAACCATTTGTTTGTTGGTATTGACAGAGGAATCATCGTTCTAAGGCTTCTTAGGTGGTGCAAAATTTCGTCCACCCACAGCAGGTGGATAATTTTTTCACAGGGTTCCGTTTTGTGACTACCCCAAAAGTCGACTTAAACCCAGAGGTTTCCCTTTTTGGGGAATCAACCTCTGGGTTTAAGTGGACTTTGGGGTCAAAAAACGGAACCCTGAGTCTTCATGTCCAGAGGTTTCCCCCACTGAATCTCTGATGCCCGGGCCATCCGGAGAAGGCTTGCGCGAAAGGAGCGCGGCGGGTTTCAAATGGCTGTGGGTCAAACATAGGCAGCATTTTGGTTGGTAGCCATTTTGGTACATATGTTTAACCCACAGCCGGGAGCGGCGGCCTGGGAAGTCCTTAGCGGACAGCTTTTTTTTGAGCCAAGGCCAGCCGGACATGTGGCCATGGTTCAAAACCAATCAGATCCCATCTTGGGGATTGGGTGCATTCACCACCCTTTTTAGGCTTCCTATTTTAGTGGTTGGATTGAATCGGATGTTTAGCGGGGGTGAAGGGGTTTTGAGCCATAGCTAAATTCTCCCCGGAGAATGATTAAAGATACCCGAGCTCCCTCCCTCCCTCTCCCTCCCTCCCTTCCCCTCCCTCCCCTCCCCTCCCTCTCTCGCTGCCTCTCTCACTCGCTCTTTCTCTCTCTCTTTCTCTCTCTCTCTCTCTATCCATCTCAACTGAATGCTTGGACTTAATTTGCCAAGGTGGAAGCCAACATAAGCCAACCATTTGCTCGCGCTCGAAGCCTTGTGACAGCTGAGCTTTCAAGGATCGCTTGATTCAGGTAGTTGCATCAGTGTGGCTCATGGATCACCGGCTGACTTGAGCGGCGAGCCATTGGAAGGTTTGAAAGTGCGCACGATTCAACCCTCCTTTACTCCGCTTGACCGGGGATGTTGGGATCGAATTTGAATGGGGACCCTTTGGTGGACATCATGTTGATGGGGATAAAGTGGCCCGCCAGGCACTTTTGAAGTGGTTCCCTAGCAACAGTAATTTCCTGTTGTTGTTTATTCTCACCTTTGCTCGTGTCATAGAACTTTTACCCGCGCCATGGGGCGGGTCCGCACGGTCACTGGCGAGGATGTGATGACCGCGAATGCATTCGCTGCATGGTGGGATGAGCACCACCAGAGTGGCATATTCGTTGACGTGCTCCGGCGAGATTTGGCCAGCCGACTGCAAGCGCGTTTCAGACAGCTGGCGTTGGTGCTTGGTGATGAGGTGCTAGGCTCGGACAGCCAATGGATTGATGCGGAGCTGGTAGTGGTGGTTCGACCGTATCTGACCACAGATGCGGAGAACCAAGAACTGCTGCAGGCAGCAGGCCAGGGTGATGTTGCCAGAGTTGCCAGGCTCCTGGACCTGCCACTCGACCCAGACGCTTGTGATGGCTGGGCCTTGCACAGGGCCGCCATGTTCGCCCACCTGGACATTGTGCGTTGTTTGCTGGAAGCCGGGGCGCGCAAGAACAAGGCCCTTGCCACTGGGAGCACACCTCTGCATTTTGCGGCGGGAGGTGGGCATGTTGCAATCGTCCGCTGCCTGATTGAAGCAGGTGCTGACACAGACTTAGCCGACCATGTGGGGAAGACCCCCTTGCATTGGGCGGCGGGAGATAGCCATGCACCTGCTGTTCAAGTTTTACTGGAAGCTGGTGCTGACAAAGACAAGGGCGACGAACACGGAAAGACGGCCTTGCATTTGGCTGCCGCGTGTGGTCACCTTGAGGTTGTGCATGTCTTACTGCAGGCCCGCGCCGATACGGGCAGGACCGACACCTGTGGACGGGCACCCATCGAGGTTGCCCAGGGCAGGCGCCGCCAGGAGATTATGCTCTGCTTGCAAGCGAGAGAGTCCCAGTCAACGCAAGAGCCAGCAAAGCCATGAGTACCAGGCAGCAAGACTTGTGGCTCCGTTGCATATTGTGTGCGGATTGTGGTGCACGCCTGCCTGTGCAGATCTGTGTGAGCTGATCTGTGTGCAGATCTGTGGAGGGCAAAGCAACATACAGACATTGTGGAGTAGGCATAGCTGGGCTACTTCCAGGCAAGCATGGCAAGCCAAATTGGCATTGTATCCATTGGCCGAGTCCTGGGTGTGACTCCTATTGGCATTGATGAAACATCGAGGAACGGTTCGTGGTTAGATGCTGTCATTTCCGGAGCTGCTCATTGTTGTCTCCTCCTTTGGACTACCTTCCGGTTCTTGTCTGTTTTTCCCTCTGATTTTTCCCTCCCTTTGCTTTTGTTGGGTAGTTTCTTTTTTTTTCTGCGTGAAGTGGCCACCTGCTTGGATGTCCTTTTTGGTAGGTTTTTGTGTTTGGCTTGTTTGGTTAGGTTTTTAGGTACGCTTGGATGTCCGGTTTCCCCGTTTCCCCTGCGTAAAGCGTGTTTTTTTTTTTTTTTGCGTAAAGAACCAGCCAACTGGCTGCCTTTGTGTTTTTTGGGTAGGTGTTTGTTTCTGCAAAAAGTGCTCACCTGCTTGGATGTCCTTGTTGGTAGGCGTTTTTTCCTTTTTTGGTCAGGTTTTTGGGTACGCTTGGATGTGTCCATTTACTTCTTTTTTTTGGTAGGTGTCGCTGCTTCCCCGGCTTTGTTTTTTTTTGGTAGGTTTCCCCGTTGCCCCGTAAAGAGAACCCAACTAGGCAAAGTGACCACCTGCTTCGATGGCATCCTCGACCTCTTGCAGGGCATGGAGGCGCCCAGGTGGGCCACGGAGCTGCGCGGCCCGATGGAGCGGGGGGCCGTGGCTCTTTCAACTTGACTGCTATTGGGCAACGGATCTTTATGAGTTTTTTTGTTCAGATCAAGTTGGGTTTTCCACTACACCCACAAAAAGTTAAGAACTTTTTGCAGAGGGGTCAACAGCAACAAAGCTTTGGGGTGTGAGTGGAAAGCAAGAAATGGTCTGCACTTCAATGAGCCACGATCAAAGCCCGGGTAGATGAAGGTTACTTTTGGGGCCAATCCCCTTGCCATTTTTCAGCTGCGGGTATCCGCCTTCTTAATTCTTGAAGCATGGTTCTGGGTTCACCAATCTAATACCGGGTTTTGATTGGAACTCACATGAAGCTCCCACGCATCCATATGGAAGAAGGGGACCCAAGCAGGTTCCCCAATGAGAATCATAGACCCCTATGTGGTGGGGGTCCTTGGCTTATCCTGAACTTATCCAGGCCCCTCATAGCCGCTAGGGGTGTCCATGCGAAAACCAGTGAGTGGGATGCCGCAATTCACTTCCTCAATCCGCCGATGTCTCTTACGAAGACTCGGCTCAGGTGTCCAGTGCCCCTTTGCAAAGCCCGCGTGGCGATGCGCAGATTCATGGGGCTCAGGAAACCCAGGCCCAACCAAATTCGACATTTCAGACGGCATGATTCCACTTGCGGTTTGGGCCCAGCCCTGCAGCTTCTGAAACCACCGTGAAACCCACGTTAAACACAAGCTACACCAGCTCTAAACCCAGCTCCTTGGGCCCCAAGTTCTCCCCCAGACAGCGGGCGGCTCCAAGGCTGACGGGTGCGCTGGCCCCCGTGACCCCGGCCGAGAAGATCGAGCTGACCGTGAAGTCGGGCCAAGTCCCGGCGGAGCCTCGGACAGATGGGCGCCGGTTTTTGGTGGGCAGATCCCAGAAAAAGCGCGGCGTTCTTTTTTTCTTTTTCTCAAGGCGCCTTTTGGCAGTCTGCCAAGAGGTGTCCTGAGCATCCAGTTGGTGAGACATAGATGGGTTCCACTGGTTTAGATGGGTTTGATTACATCCAGTGAAACCCGATCTCTTTGTTCCAAAAGGACACCTATGAGCAGTTGTTGATGTCCCCCGCAAGGACAAGGATGGCCATTTGTTTGTTATTTTCCAGACCCTATTCAACACCCAAGTGACCACTCGGTTTCTGGGCTCTGGGATTTCCACAGAGGCTATATACATGCAATTGGACATCTAGTCAAATGACATGAGCAATGGTCAAGCAAAGAACGGGCGAGGGGGGGGGGGGGGTGACTCTCCAAGATTCAATGTCATGGTCTTAAACAAGGAAAACAATGACATTTGGTCACATCGCAAGCTCACCTACGGCAAAAGTTGTTTAGAAACTTTTCTTTCTTGATTCCTTTCAGAGTGAATTCAGTTTGGCAAATGGACAATTCACCCGAGCCTAAGACTGCAGAAGCATCTTGGTAGAGTCACAAGTCAAGTTTGAGAGTGGCATTCGCTGTTTAATTTGGCTCAGGAGTTGTATGATTGGCTCTGGGGTTATTTTTAGCTTGCGTGTCTAAACTGAGGAAGCGTGGACCAAGTTAAGCTGAGCTCGACAACGCTAATTCTGGCGTGGTGCTACTGCAACGCTCATTGTTGAGCTTGATGTGTTAGATACCCCGCGAGAATGGGGATATTCCCTAACAAATCACTCACAAGCATTGCATCCCAAGCGTTTAGTTTGGATGACTCCA